AATGAACTTGTTATGAAGTAAAAGAAGGCCTGTCATCAGGCTCAAGTAACTTACGTTCAGGAGGATATAAAAGTTTTAATTGTTATGGAATTAAGTTTTTAGACCATTCTGGAAATTTGAGATACACAAGGTCTTACTAAGAATGTATGTGAAATTGCTTCTGTAGACAAATTATACATTTAAGAAAAAAATCATCTTTATGTTCGAATTTGGACATGTTCTTGTTTTGATACACTTGTAGTATTAGAGATTGGTACTTGAAAAAAAATTATAAAACTGTTGTACTCAAAACTTGCAAACATCTGCTATTATAAATACTAATTTATAAAATATGTTATACCAGAAATTTATACATTTATATATTACTATGAAATCTACATAACAAAAACAAAACAGCTTGTATATAAAGGTTCAGTTTTGGTTCATATGTCACTGTTTGTACTTGGTTTGGATTTTTTATCACATGGTTCATGAATATATTAAATAGATTTAAAAATGAATAAAGAATATTTTATAAAGACACAGACTGTTATGACATTTTGGTTGCACACTGGACATATAATCAGGTTTTTTACAAAACAAGTACTGTTAATTTAACATCAGCAGCTGAAGGAAGAAGATATTTAGCCTCTTTTGATTGATATTTTAAGTTTTTATATTTGAATGTTTTAAAGTTTGACAGATTGTAATACTAATGATAACTTTGTTGTTTATTTGGCTTATAAATGATGAATGAATATTGAAAACTCATGTGTATGAATCAGAACATTTAATTTGAAATAGCTTCCAATGTTTGCTTTTTGCCCCTACCCTTTATACCGCTATAGTTATTAGAGTTTTTATGCCCCGGCCATATAGTAATTGAACCGTCCGTCCATCTGTCTGTACGAGGTTAACCTAGAACGGCAAGTTGGATTTTTCTTGAGTTCTACCTGTACCAATGGCTTCATAATTTACACACTTACTAATCCATACAAAGTATATGATCTGGGCAAGTTACATAACTATGGCTTCTATTTGCACCAAGTTATGGCCCTTTTAAGCACTTAGAAAATGAATAATGGTTAACCTAAACCGGCAAGTTGGAAATATCTTATGTTCTATCTGAAGTAATGGCTTAATAATTTTCACACTTACTTATCAATACAATGTACATGATATTGCCAAGTTATATAAATGTGCCATCCATTTTCCCAGTAATTTCCCTTTTTATCACTTTGAAAATAGGGCCTTGAATGGTTAACCTATTCAGCCAAGTTGGATTTACCAAAAAATTTTACCTAATTACTTAATTTATTTAATGATATCTTTCATATTTGGTAGGTGCATACCTTTAACGGTCCTCTAGTTTTTTGTGGCGTTAGGCGTCTCCAGGTCAAGGTCACTTGTGTAAAAAAATAAATCTAAACATTTCTGCTCATACAGCCTTTATTTTTAAGTTAATGTCTTTCATGTAAAATTGTTTATAATAGTCATACCAAGGAAGGTCCTCTTCCTTTTCCTTTAGTAAGGGGTCATTTGGGTCAAGGTCACCAATGTCAAAAATAGGTTTTTTACACTTTTACAGGTGTATTAACCTTATTCTATCCACATATGTCTTATATATTTTGTAGGAGCATAAAATTGAGGTATTCTCATTTGGATGGAGGTAGGGGTCAGTTGGGTCAAGGTCAACAGTGCTAAAATTGGATTTTTACACTTTTGCTCATACAGCCTTTATTCATTTTTTACTATTTTCCTAAAGGTTAAATTTTTTTTTTAAATATTGTTACTGACACAAATCTGAGCCGGGGGCATTTGTGTTTAACAAACATGTTCTTGTTTCGCAATCAAAATGAGGCAAAACAGCATATTTAAGTTGATGATCCAAACAATGTGCTGGCTGATATTGCACTGGCAGCATGGGTAACAAAAAATTCAATTTCTGCTAACAATTATAAACATCTTGTATATCAATTATATATTGTTGAAAATGCAAGTTAAGTTTGGCTTTTGCAAGTTAAAATTTCATTCTGGTACTCGCAAAAATTTGCAAGTGCACATGAAAGTTAATTTTTCATCGATAAGAATACGATTTTTGCTCAAAACAATGAAATATATCATTTTAGAATCAATTAAAAATGTTGAATGTAGTACATGTGAGGAAATGTCCTTAACATTTAATCTGTATATGAACTTGACCAACAGAAAGACATAGTGTTGCTATACCATATATTTCTGTAGCTGTCTGAAGCAATACGGACCTCCATGTTCGTGTTAGAAACATGAACATTTTAAAAATTGTCAAAATTTTGTCAAGTGTAAATTTAAGTGTGATTCAACATTGTGTGTGGCATTTAACTATTTACAGAAATCACCAATAACATGTCAAATTTGTGCAGGAATATTACCTAATAATCAGGTAGAAATATGACAATTAATTTAGTAGATTGTGTCTCATTCTGTATATTACATGCAAAGGGTCTCTTGAAATTTAGATGTCTATACATTTCTAAAATCATGAATTTTTTTTACTTTAGTTGGGTTTTTTGAAAATTTGTTCTTATATCAGCAGGTGTGCTGCTTTAAGAAAGATATAAACATGCATGTATATATGTGTGATATATGTGTGATATATATGTGATATAAAGATATTAACATAAACATGAGAATGATATACTGTTTGGTTGTATCAGTCCAGTTTATTGCGTAATGTTGTATTCCAATAAGAAATTTAAATGAAGATGTTCAGATATCAAATATAAAGATTCTAACTAAGAACTATATATCATAACTATGAGGGAATTATAGATTGTTTCATCCATCATAAAAATGATTTATTGCTCATATTATTTTCATATTTCGTATTTTATTGGTGATTAATTTGAAAATGAAAGACATGTCAATAAATTACGGCCACCCTGTATCTTATTTCAATCACATGTATTGAATTCCTTGAAAACCTCTCCTATAAAATATGAGACGATGTACGCGGAAAAGAGATTTGAGCCGCGTCACGACAAAACTAACATAGTGCGTTTGCGACCAGCATCCGCACAGTCTGATCAGGATCCATGCTGTTCCCTATCAGTTTCTCAATTTGTAATAGGGTTTGTAAGCGAACAGCATGGATCCTGATCAGACTGCGGGGATGCGCAGGCTGGTCTTGATCCATGCTGGTCGCAAACGCTCAATGTTGGTTTTGTCTTGACGCAGCTCATTTTATGTTGAACAATTATTAACACATTTTAATATATTAATATATATTTGACTTATTTGGTTAATTTATGGAAAATTATAAGCATATAGTAATTATTTTCCATATGTAAATGGCTTGAATGGAAAAAAAAAAGAAATCTTGTTTCATATAAATTTCTCAAAAATCAATTTAACCCATTACTTCATGAGCATTTTGTGAAAAATGGCTGTTTTCATGTTACAAGTTCAAATTGCTATGAAACTATAAAAGATGTTTCAATATAGTTCAAACTTGTCACAAATGTTGACTGGACCACAGCCTTTGTAACTGCAGACTCAATCTTAAATTTCCTGTTACCATGGCAAGGAGGGGACATCTAAAAATTGCCAAAAATCACTATTTTACGTTGATTTTTCCATCAAAACTGATTTCTGAATGATGCAAGAGGTACAAGGGTAAAAAATTTATCAATAATATTAACTTTCACAGTCATGTCAAATAAAATAAGATCACTTTTTGTAGCATATATAAAGATACAGGAAATGTTAAAATCATTTCCATGGTTACATCAGTTACCATAGTAACAACACTCTTACATTACTCTCTGAAATGTCAAGGTCAAATTTTATACATGAAATGTGAAGGGCAAAAAACAAAAATATATAAACAAATGAAATTTCAAGGTCAACTTGTGTTATATATGGTGAGGGAATGACATGGTCTGTTGTTGAGATACTGTAGAATATAGACAGAATAATTAGAAAGCAGTCTTTATAAATTCCTCTTTCAAAAGCCTGCACAAGCCATGTATATATAGTAGAAATATCCAGGGGCTTTTGTTTCACCGATCTTGTATAATGTGTCTGTGTGAGGGGCACGGATATATATCTATATATGATGACTGTATCACATCTACAGGGAATTAGCAGCTAGAAATAATTTATAATTTGTTCATGAGACAAGAACAGCAGCTTAGATGGTAAATTTACAAAACTGTTTTATCTTGAGTGACAATACTGCTTGTTCTCAAGGTGATACACTCATAAATAATCACTTCTTGCAAACATATGAAATTTGTTGTTGTCAAATAAACTACTTGATAAATAAGTTAACCAATACAGTTCCTGTAATTCTGTAATTAACACCACAAATATTAGCTTTGTAAACTATACACTTCAAGAATAATTATTAAGAAACAAGGAAAAATTGTCAAGGAAAAGTTAATTTCAATTTTTACATTCATTATGAATCTGACCTTTTGAATTCAATTAAGATAAACCAATATACAAAACATAATTAGTATCTGTAATCAGAGTTTCACAGAATCTGTAATGGTTTGATTGTTCTTAGAATTTAGTATATAAACTAATTAATAAACATTGACAAATTGTACAAATTTTCCCTTTTCTTTTTTTGACAAATTTAAGTTTTTTTTTTTCTGGTTTTATGGTTATCTTTCTGATAGAAACCTTCACATGCAAGATGCTTCTTTTAAAAGATGAGAGGTTTTTAATTGAGGAGACGTATATTTATGAGATCGTGTAAACTTTTAAGTAAGGCAGCAATTATTTGTCTGGTGGTAAAATGTGTGCAATCAAAATGTCTACATAGTCAGTGTTTTAGAACTAAATAGGCTTATACTGAATTTGTTGTCCGTAAAAGGCAATATTTGCTCACATATCTGTTATTATATATGTATTTTTTACAGAAAAAAAGAAAAAAGTATTTAGAAACCAAATCCCAAGTACAAACTTTGTTTTATTTTTCACATTTTTTTTCGTTAGGTGGTAATTTTTTTTATTTTTCAAATTGTTAATTTCAGTCGACCCCTCCTGAATCGATGCATTCCCACCAACCTGATCTCCCTTGCTTCGAATGTATCGTCTGATATCATAAGCTTTCTTAACACGAGTGACTTATTCCAGAAAGTTCTCAGCGACCTATATTCTAGCTGGAAGGAGATGCTGGTATTGTGTTTCGTTGCCGTAGGTACGGTGATCTTGTCACATCAGTTCAAAACTATTGTTTATCATGTGACTGTATATTATATGATATATACTTAGCTACAATAGTTTTGCACGATTGTGATGAATATAATGCCTGAGCTTTTATACTCACTGAGTTTTTTTCCAAAAAGTATACCTTATAAAGGGAACTAACTCTCACCATCATATCATACACTGTCCAAATAAATTTTATGAGAAATCATGTGATACTTTAAAATAAATTAGAAGGAAATGTTTGTTTTACTATACATACATATAAAATAGCTGTCCTTATATATTAAGCTTTCCTAAACCTAACAACAAAATCAGTTTCACGGCATTTAATTTAATTTATTTAAAAGATTTTATTTGGATTGTCAATACCTTTGAAATTTTAAAAGACAGCTTCACAGTTATAGTTTGAAAAAGATAACAGATGGTTCATTGATAAAGGGAGTTCAAACATATGGAAAAATGTTTATATTAGTTCACAATCTAGATAAACTGACTGACTTGACTGTAGATTTAATTTCTGAAAAGCATGGCCTTGTAATGGCATTGGTAAAGAGCCAGGCCAGCCAGCATGGTTTACTGCTCACTTTTACATGCTCTAAAGCTGACAATAAACAGTACTGAACAAATGCCATTATACCCTATCAGCTCAATGGGCTACTTTAATAAAGACATAATGTGAATTGTGATATCAAAATCAAAAAAGTTATTACATGAACATTCAAACAAATTGATATTTTCTTCAAGTTACTGACTGAAAAAATGTAGGAATTTTAAACAATTTACTAATTTTACATTGTACTGTGTAGAATTAACAATTCTAGAAAAGTTAGTTTTGTATATAATACTGGGGCAGTGTATGTGTCATGGTAATTGGGTGATTATTTCCCTGTTTTGAGTGAACAAATCTTATTTCATTCTTTCTTTACTCTCTCCAGATCCTTTGGCATTGTTTCACAGACCAATAGAATTAAGTCGCCTTCCACTAAATGTAGAGGAGGTACAATAGAATAACAGTAGTTCAGGCACAAAATTAAAAATTTCGCTCATGTATTGCAACATTCCTTTTCAAGCACATATATCCAAAGCACTTTTATAAACAACTATGGGTTTATTTGACATCCAGCTATATTAAAATAATTTGCTTCTTGATAACTCATCCACTGATCTGTGGATTTTAAAACAAAATAAATCACATAGTGAGTTCTTGCTGATTTATTATAAGGCAGCACACTATTAGCTTTTTGTAGGGGATATGAAGCAATAATTGCACCAGGTAGCTTTTGATATAGATATATCACAATGAATTATTACTAAAGTGTCAGTTATACTGATCAGATCAGTCTATGTATTTACAGCACCAGCTTTATTATCAACTAGCTTCACTTCTATATTTTCTTATGGCTTTTCAGCAGTATAAGCATTTGATTTCCTTTATGGCAATTCTTCTAATAGATTTATTCAGTTATATAAGCAATTTCATTGATATATGACAGTTTTAACCAAATATTATGGTACAATATATTCTTAATGCAGTATATATAGTTAAGACATGGTATTTTCTCATGAGGAAGATCGTACAATAGTCTTCTTGTAAATTTAAGGCACAATTTTCCTATGGTTTTAGGCATTTTATGGATTTTTTTTCTTCATTTTTATGCCCCCACAATGTGGGAGCATATAGCGTTGCACTTGTCCGTCCGTCAGTCCGTCCGTACGTCCCGAAATCTTGTGAACGCAACTCCTCTTAAACCGGATGGCAGATTTTGCTTAAACTTACAGGGATGAACAACCTTAATGTGTAGATGGTAGTAAAGGAAGGAATTTTCGCTGCAACCAAATTTAACAGAATTATGGCCCTTTGTTGATTTTTTCACTATATACTATGTAGAAATTTTTGTGAACGCAACTCCTCTTAAACCGGATGGCAGATTTTGCTTAAACTTACAGGGATGAACAACCTTAATGTGTAGATGGTAGTAAAGGAAGGAATTTTTGCTGCAACCAAATTTAACAGAATTATGGCCCTTTGTTGATTTTTTTCACTATATACTATGTAGAAATTTTGTGAACGCAATCTAACACTAGTGATGCAGATTTTGCTTAAACTTAGCAGGGATATGAACAATTAAGGTTGTCCGCATGGTAGCTTAAGGATAAGATATTCACAATGAATTTTACATAGGGGCGTTTATGATTTCAATAATCTATGTATTTTAACCAAGCCTTTTATAACAGCATGGCAATTTTTATGGCTTTTCAGGGATAACAACTTGATTTATCTTAAGGAAGGAATTTTTCTCAAGGATTTAACAGTTAATAGGCACTTGTCATTGATATAGTGACAAGTTTTTAACCAAAATTGATTTATTAATTACAATAATTCTTAATGCAGTTATATGTAGTTAAAGAAGGATTTTTCTCATGAGCAAGATGTACAAATAGGCTCCTTTGTATAATTTAAGGCACATTTTCCATATGGTTTTAGGCATTTTATGGATTTTTTTTCTTCATTTTTTTTTCATGGATTTATTTACATTGTAACAATTATAATAGACATTTGTTATTGATTCAGCCACCATTTTAGATGACTTTTCATCTCAATGTAATAATCCCACCTTCATCTTAGTTGTTTACTAGGAAATGTAAATTTAAAATGTAAATTGAAGTTCTATATATATCAAAAACCATTAACAAATATTGCATAAAGTCTTTGAAATAATAGCTTTTGAATTGCCAGTATAAACTCCATAAAAAATCTTCTCATAGTTTTATATGAAGATCAAGTTCTGTAAATGTTTGGGAATATTTTATCATAGCTGGTAATCTTAGGCCACTTATTGAGAACCTATGTTTATTAGCTTCCATTTTGGTTGACAATATTGGGAAGTATCGGATGATAAATTGGTCTGTATACCTCATTACTAGTAATTATAATATATAACTGTTTTTTATGACCATTGAGTTCTATTGATTACATGGTGAGAATAAAGGCGAGATATAAATCAAGTAAACACACAGTGCTGTTAGGCACGCTGCCGGTTTTTTCATCAGAACAATAAATAATAGGATACTTTTGTCTCCAGTAATTATAGGGCTGGGTTGGGTAAAATTAAAGTACAAAAAGGCAAAAATAATCATTATATTTTCATGTTGTCAACTATTTCTGTAGAATTTGGAATCTTGAGTAATTGATGGTAAGGTGAAGCATTAAAAGTATATTTTAGTTACTGAAATTGTCTGCTGCAGGAATGTAAACCATTTACATCACAAATTAAATGTTTTAAACTTGCATATTTGCTTGAATCTAAAATAAGATCCAGTAATATTAACTTAAAAGTTATTAGATTATATGTAGTTACACATGTACTTGTATCAAAGTTATTAGATTATATATAGGTATACTTTTGTAAAGTAAGTTTTCTTACAGGGATTATCTATGTAGGAAGAAAATGGTCACTGAAAACTTTCTCGAATATGCCAATTTTATACTCTTCTTTACTATTTCTATAAAACTGTTCTGTTTTGCTTGTTGCCTTGTTTGCATGGACACTCCCGGTCACCTATATTTCTGTAGTAATATATATATTTAGCCATCGCCACTGTATGTCTGTATTTTATCATTAGTATGTTCACATTTTAAAAAAAGTTTCAATTGTGTTTTGAAATTGCATGTATATACTTCAAATGACAGGTGCATAGTTACTGATACCCTTGTAAAGTATACACTTACAATAAACCTTTATTACCTAATCTTCATTCTTTTACATGTATGCGGGTGTGTTTGTGGTGTTTTTATTTAAGTTACATTTCTAATGACTTTTATATTTTGTATGTTAATTTTAAGTAAACAAATTTAACACAGATTATTGTTACAGTAACCTGTATTAAAGAATAGTTTTCTTACTATCAAATTATACTAGCTTACAGAAATCTGTACCAAAGAGACCAAATTGCAGTAACATGTACTATAATAGACTTTATTACAAAAAATTGCAGTAAATAGATTGGGTTACAGAAATCTGTATCACAGTAGATTGGGTTACAGAAATCTGTATCATCAATGTAGACTGGGTTACAGATATCTGTATCAAAGCAGACTGGGTTACAGATATGTGTATCAAAGTAGACTTTGTTACAGATATCTGTATGAAAGCAGATTGGGTTACAGATATCTGTATCAAAGTAGACTGGGTTACAGATATCTGTATCAAAGTAGACTAGGTTAGAGATGTCTGTTTCAAAGAAGACTGGGTTACAGTTATTTTTATCAGAGTAGACTGGGTTACAGAAATCTATATCAAAGTAGGCTGGGTTACAGATATCTGTATCAAAGTAGACTGGGTTATCAAAGTAGGCTAGGAGACTGTTTTACAATAATTTATTTTATAATAGATTGTTACTGTACTATGTACTTAATTAGACTGGGTTTGGTCATTGATACCATATAACAGACTGTTATTCTGTATTTTCTAACATAAATGACTGAGACTGTCTGATTAATGATATAAAACTATAATTTTGATATGAGACACATCATGGTTGTGGTTATATTGTCATGTGTCTCTACCTCATAAATTCTGAAATTCATAAATTTCTTGTTTTAATAAATTCATAAATTTCTTGTTTTAATAATGTACAAATCTTTTAAGGCATGATATACTTTAACATCTACAGTAATAAAACAATTATTTTTGTTCAGTGTTTACTGAATTTTACCTGATTAAATGTCTGTAGGCTCATAAAGAAGAATAAATTATTAACTATCTGATATTTATAGTCAATCCTGTGTTAATGAGTCGACCTATCAACAGTGACATGGCATATTTTTTGCTGTTTATAGGATGGACCTTTTAGACAGATGAGACTGTATTGTGAATTAAGGATATGAAATGTAAAGAATATTGTAATTTAATGTTTTCATGTTATTTTTTATTCCAGCATTTTCTGGAGTAATGGTGTTGTTGATCAGGTTTCTAGCATCAGCAATTGTCTGGGTGATTTTAGCTGTGGCTATATTGGGATCTATAGGTAAGTTTAGTCTGTGTGGCTAGTGATTTGTTTGAAAAAAAACCTAAAATTTTAAAAGAATTGATGACTTAGATATTTCACTACTGAGAAATGAATGAATTGACAATTGAGCCGCGTTACGACAAAATCAACATAGTGTGTTTGCGACCAGCATGGAACCAGACCAGCCTGCGCATCCGCACAGTCTGATCAGGATCCATGCTGTTCGCTTACCAACCCTATTACAAGTAGAGAAACTGATAAGAAACTGATCACACTGCTGGATCCATGCTGGTTGCAAACGCACTATGTTGGTTTTTTCGTGACGTGGCTAAATTAGTGGAGATTATGATATCATGCTACTCTTACCTTCTATAATACAGCTGGAACAGCGTTTTTATGGTGGACATATTATGGATTCCGTAAAAAACTTGAAGAAGACGATGCTATCAACTTGCCATTGTTAGATGTAGAAATAAACAGTGAGAGGGCCTTTCTTATCTACTCTATAATTGCCACTGTGTTGACAGTAAGTATAGGAATCTGCTCAAAATTCCCAGCTTGTTCTTCACAAATAATACTTCTAGCCTAGCAGGTCCTACATACAGACATCTATTGCATACATTTTCTCAGGGAAAGAAATTGTTTTCTCCTTTAATGAATAATTTATGAAGGAAATTTATTCCTTGTAGAATTCCATTACTCGACTTAGTACATTATTGCAATTAGAGGGGAGTAATAAATATAATATTTTCCTTTTGAAATGGCATTTGCTTTAAAGCTAAAAATTAAAGCTACAGAAAAGTGCAATATGTCTGCAGAGCTAACCCCCTGGAAAAGTGAATTATAATGTCTGTAAAAAGGTTGGCATGGTGATGTAAATACCACTATATTTAATGGTGGTGAATGGTAAGTCTTGAAAGTTCAAATGAGATATTTACATTTTACATTCTATAGAATATTATAAATGTATCTGGCATGTATATTGTATATATTGTCATAACTTATGTTACCTGTTTGCAGAGACATTTAGTTAACCTTCTGAAATTTTTTCTTCTGTTGATAGTAAAAGCTGTCTATTAAATGGAATTTCAATTTAAAATGAATATTATATGGAAGCTAGTAGAATCAGTATAGAGCCATTTTAGATAGCAGATGAAAATGTAGGCTAACCAAGCTGTATACAGGTGGCATATAAAATTACTATGCTAGGGGTAAAAGAGTTTATGGTACTTTCCTATAAAAAAAAAAGAAATTCATATTCTTAAAAAAGGAAATTCAAATAATTATTAATGATAAGATAAATTTCACAAGGTTTTCATACAAATTGTATTACATGTATGTATGAGCATATTTCCTGTATTTTTCATCTTTTACAGCTATAATTATGTGATGGTAGACTGTACTTTAAACTTATTTTATATTATTATTATTATTATTATATAAATGGCTTAAAAAGCTTATTGATTTGAATTTTGTTTGATATTTATTTAGAGATTTCATTTAATTTTACTTATACTACAGATGGAGACTATAATATAATATGAGCCGCGTCACGACAAAACCAACATGCTGTTCGCTTACAAACCCTATAACAAGTAGAGAAACTGATAGCAAACAGCATGGATCCTGATCAGACTGCGCAGAAACCCATTATGTTGGTTTTGTCGTGGCATGGCTCAATTATATATAAATATATTTCAGGTGATATTATTGTTGGTGATATTAGTGATGAGGAAGCGTATTTCCCTAGTTGTAGCATTGTTTCATGAGGCAGGAGCTTGTATGGCTGCCATGCCTTGTCTACTGCTACAACCTGTATGGACATTCTTAATTCTGATGGGCTTCTTCATGTACTGGGTGATAGTTCTTGCCTTCCTTTCTACAGCAGGTATACTGATATATTTTATATTTTATTAAGTCTAAGATGCTTCTTTATTTGGCAGTTTGTGTAAATGAGGCAAAAGTGTTCTAAATTACTGGCATATTGTATCATAAAGTCAGATTCTACATTTTATAAATATACTCAACTGTCAAATGTTTAATTTAGGACCCTTGGAATACCTTAAAGCACTTACGCCAAATAAAACATTTGAGCCGTGTCAAGAACAAACCATCATAATGGGTTTGCGACCAGCATGGATCCAGACCAGGCTGCGCATCAGCGCAGTCTGATCAGGATCCATGCTGTTTGCTATCAGTTTCTCTACATGAAATAGGGTTGGTAAGTGAACAGCATGAATCCTGATCAGACTGCACGGATGCGCAGGCTAGTCTTGATCCATGCTGGTCGCAAACCCATTATGTTTGTTTTGTCGTGACATGGCTCATTTTATTCTCTATTAAATGATCAGTTATACACAGTGAGTTTAAAATTCTTATTCACTTCATTTTGACTTTTGATCATTCTTCTTAACACTTCGTTATTTCTAATATGTAATTAAGTGGAGGATTTCCTGTGTAAAACATATTATATTTTAATTTCAATTGGCCTGTTATAGGGAAAACATAGGAAATTAACCCTCAACTTTATTTCTTTTGTTTATACATTTTATTATGCATGAACATTGAGTTAATTTTGAAATAATTCAACCTATCTATCTTTACAGAGAAACCAAGCATGAATGCTGACGGCTATGTGACATATAAGGAACATGAGACAGTATCGTATATGTGGTGGTACCATCTTGTTGGTCTAATATGGACAAGTGAATTTATCATCGCCTGTCAACAACTTGTCATTTGTGGGTCTGTAGCCACCTGGTATTTCGCCAGGTAAATGTTTATCATTTTGTCATTTGTGGGTCTGTAGCTACCTGGTATTTCTCTAGGTAAATGTTTATCAACTTGTCATTTGTGGGTCTGCAGCTACCTGGTATTTCTCTAGGGAAATGTTTATCAACTTGTCATTTGTGGGTCTGCAGCTACCTGGTATTTCTCAAGGTAAATGTTTATCAACTTGTCATTTGTGGGTCTGCAGCTACCTGGTATTTCACCAGGTAAATGTTTATCAACTTGTCATTTGTGGGTCTGCAGCTACCTGGTATTTCTCTAGGGAAATGTTTATCAACTTGTCATTTGTGGGTCTGCAGCTACCTGGTATTTCTCAAGGTAAAGTTTTATCAACTTGTCATTTGTGGGTCTGTAGCTACCTGGTATTTCTCCAGGTAAATGTTTATCAACTTGTCATTTGTGGGTCTGCAGCTACCTGGTATTTCTCTAGGGAAATGTTAATTAACTTGTCATTTGTGGGTCTGCATCTACCTGGTATTTCTCAAGGTAAATGTTTATCAACTTGTCGTTTGTTGGTCCGCAGCTACCTGGTATTTCTCTAGGGTAATGTTAATCAACTTGTCATTTGTGGGTCTGCAGCTACCTGGTATTTCTCAAGGTAAATGTTTATCAACTTGTCATTTGTTGGTCCGCAGCTACCTGGTATTTCTCTAGGGTAATGTTAATTAACTTGTCATTTGTGGGTCTGCAGCTACCTGGTATTTCTCAAGGTAAATGTTTATCAACTTGTCATTTGTGGGTCTGCAGCTACCTGGTATTTCTCTAGGGAAATGTTTATCAACTTGTTATTTGTGGGTCTGCAGCTACCTGGTATTTCTCAAGGTAAAGTTTTATCAACTTGTCATTTGTGGGTCTGTAGCTACCTGGTATTTCTCAAGGTAAATGTTTATCAACTTGTCATTTGTGGGTCTGCAGCTACCTGGTATTTCTCAAGGTAAATGTTTATCAACTTGTCATTTGTGGGTCTGTAGCTACCTGGTATTTCTCCGGTAAATGTTTATCAACTTGTCATTTGTTGGTCTGCAGCTACCTGGTATTTCTCTAGGGAAATGTTTATCAACTTGTTATTTGTGGGTCTGCAGCTACCTGGTATTTCTCAAGGTAAATGTTTATCAACTTGTCATTTGTGGGTCTGCAGCTACCTGGTATTTCTCTAGGTAAATGTTTTATCAACTTGTCATTTGTGGGTCTGCAGCTACCTGGTATTTCTCAAGGTAAATGTTTTATCAACTTGTCATTTGTGGGTCTGCAGCTACCTGGTATTTCTCAAGGTAAAGTTTTATCAACTTGTCATTTGTGGGTCTGCAGCTACCTGGTATTTCTCAAGGTAAAGTTTTATCAACTTGTCATTTGTGGGTCTGCAGCTACCTGGTATTTCTCAAGGTAAATGTTTATCACCTTGTCATTTGTTGGTCCGCAGCTACCTGGTATTTCTCTAGGGTAATGTTAATTAACTTGTCATTTGTGGGTCTGCAGCTACCTGGTATTTCTCTAGGGAAATGTTTATCAACTTGTTATTTGTGGGTCTGCAGCTACCTGGTATTTCTCAAGGTAAAGTTTTATCAACTTGTCATTTGTGGGTCTGTAGCTACCTGGTATTTCTCTAGGGAAATGTTTATCAACTTGTTATTTGTGGGTCTGCAGCTACCTGGTATTTCTCAAGGTAAATGTTTATCAACTTGTCATTTGTTGGTCTGCAGCTACCTGGTATTTCTCTAGGGAAATGTTTATCAACTTGTCATTTGTGGGTCTGCAGCTACCTGGTATTTCTCAAGGTAAATGTTTATCAACTTGTCATTTGTGGGTCTGCAGCTACCTGGTATTTCTCAAGGTAAATGTTTATCTTTTCAATGTCCTTTTATTATGATGGTTTATATTTTCTGTGTGTCCGTCATCTTGCATTCATAGTATCCTGTGAGGCAGTGACTTAAACACTAAAATAGTAAAACATGATTATATCTGCTTTTATTAAATTAATTAAGTCAGCATTGAAGGACCAAACCAACAATATGAACATATTGACTATAGTATATAAAAGTGCATACTACAGTAATTCAGACTCCCGGCATCTGTAAGGCTTTGATGATATGTTGTACTTTTGTTTACATAGTTTTTGTTTTAGATTTTCAGATTACCCGCATTGTTTTACAAGAATTGTACATTTTTCCCATTGTAACCTGCAACAATTATAGAATTTAATCTTTTGATACAAACCTGAAAATAGAATAACTAATTAATATTGTTAATTGTTCCAACAAAATCAATACTCAAACTATAATTATGAATCAATTTTAATGTGAGGAAATTATCTTTTACAAAAAAAAAAGATTATTGAAGAAATCTTTTAGGTTGTAGAACACTTTGATTGATATGGCAATGCTGTGTTAGCTACTGTATAGGGGAAATTAATCTGCCATGTTTATTTTCACTTTATTTGCAGTTTTTAAGGTATTTCAAATTTAAAAACAGTGATTAAATTCTTCTAATTGTGTAACAATTCAGAGGTAATAATTTTGTTGGCTTGTCAACAATATAGAAAGAGGGATCACTCTTCTTTGCACTTGATTTATCTTGCATTATGAATGTGGTAAAGAATCAAATACAAGAACAAAAGAAAGATGATTAGAAATGACATGGTTTATTTTATCATTGATTCTTCAATCTTTTACTTTAGTATGTAATAAATACTATAATGTGCTCTCATTTATGTTAATATTGTTATTATAATATAAATCTTAATTAAATGCACTCAGTCACACAAAAGCACAATTATCATAGCAAAAAAAATCTGATATATTATTAATCCCTACATAATAAACAGCTTTTGTCACTTATAACCCCATGTTGGAGTGGCATTGTACTTTAATGCTGTAAAAGTTGTCTTTAATGTTGTGTATAAAATGTCTGTACAATGCTGAGATGTAAATAAAAATTACAACAGTTATATTTTACAGTTACAGTTATCACACTTGACTGTTTACTGATAATTTTATTTTATCAAATCCATGTAAGGCAAATGACGTCTTCATAAACAGTCAATCATATGTTTGTTTTGACTGTTTTTGATTATTGGTGCACCATTCTCATATTGTTATAATAAAACATGATTACTATACTCATAAACTAACAATTGACAAATGATTTTTTTTAAGCAAAATTACAAAACACAATTTAAATATCACAAAATCAACAAATTGTATTTCTGGTATGTTATTCAGAACATGATGATTGGGGCTTATTCTTCCTCAAATAAGCTGTTTTCCTCAACCTTTGGCAAAATTGACTCTCCAAAATATAAGTAAATGTTAGATTTATCAAAGTCTGACACTCACCTTAGGCTGGAAAAAAAAAGACTTAAAATTAACTGCTGTGGGATTGAATCCCACCAGATTACAGAGTAGTTGAATTATATTGTGTGCCGACTTCTGAAAATTTAATACCTGCTTATTACTCCAATATTATACTGAGTGACACATTGAGCTTTCTCACCCTGTCAGGTTGAAAAGTTTTTACATGACCTAGACAATGTCTGTTAAGTTCCAATAAAAAGATAAATAATTGATAAAAAAAAATCTTATTGTTGTTAAATGTTACTGTGCTTTTGAACATTTATAATTTTTCTATAATTAGGGACAAGGACAATCTAGGATGCCCAATCATGGACTCGATCAAGTTGTTGGTATTCCATCATCTCGGCTCAGTAGCATTTGGTGCTCTAATTATCACAGCTGTCAAACTACCCAGGATGATTCTTATGTACCTTCATAAAAAGTATGTTATATAACAGTATAATAAATTAATTAATTACTTTAAAGTTGCATTATACCGATACAAGGGAAAATGGTAGTTGTACAGGTCAAAGTTAATAATTGAGCCGCGTCATGACAAAACCAACGTAATGCGTTTGAGACCAGCGTAGATCCAGACCAGCCTGCGCATCCGTGCAGTCTGATCAGGATCCATGCTGTTCGCTAGCAGTTTCTTTACTTGTAAGCGGGTCAGAAACCCATTATGTTAGTTTTGTCATGACGCGGCTCAATTATAACTTTAGATTTTTGACGTAATTGTTTTCAATTTTATTGTTTAGTTCATGTGTATAATCAATAACCCATGTGATCACAAAAAAATTCTATAAATATCGTTGGGAATTTTTAAGTTTTAATCAACTGATAAAAAGATTGAAACAGTTTTTTTTATATTTTAGGCAGTTGTTATATTTTATCCTTAAAGATATATTATGCTCAAATTTGATATTTGAAAATACGGATAATTTCTATACAGTTTATTTCTAAATGTGAAATAAAGATCTTTTTAGTATACACAGAGAATATAATTATGTTAAGTTTTAAACACTACACACTAAAGGTAAACACAGAATGAAATACAAAGTGTCATTAAAAAAACTGGCACTTTAATTAAGAAAAGACCCAGTTAAAATGATCTGTTGTAAGAAATGCAGCTTTACAAGGATAGTTTGTGCCTTCTCTTATTTAAATAATACATATTCAGTTAGAATTTCCTAGATTTGAATAAATTAATGCTTCAAAAGTATTTTACATAAAGATGAGCATAGTATATCTTAAACATGTTTTGTTCAATGACCATTATTATAGTGAAACTTTTTAAATACTTAGGCCAATTTAGATTATATAAATAAAGTTAGCCCAACTTGACATTAAAAAAAGAGCTTAACATCACTTTAATATAATAAATAGCAAAAACATGAAAGCACCATTGTAGAGACAGATATTTTAAATATTTTATAGTAAATCTTTATATTATACAAGATGGTGCTCTGATAACTTTGAACAGATATATAATCTAACCTTACAATGTAACATAATAGTCAATGTAACTTTTTCCCTTCAGATTATATAATATCAGCTGGTTGTGTGTGGAATTTTACAGGTGTCTATAGATAATTTCTAGAATGACAACATAAACTAATATCACTCAGTAGACAGTTATAATGTATGTGCAGACATCTGACCACACTGATTTTTTGATCACATAGACAAGCTGTATTGTTTATATATATCAAGAGTAAAGTAAAGTAAGTATTTACTGAGGCTACACATTTGGTTACCCAATCTTCCATGTGGGCCTCAAAACATATACATAAAATATACATAATTTACATCATGGCTATATAGTCAAATAATAATTCTATTTACAGGTTTAAGGATGCCGAGAACAAATGTGCAGAATATTGTATGAAATGTTGTATTTGTTGCCTGTGGTGCCTTGAAAAATGTCTCAAATATCTTAACCAGAATGCCTACACTATAGTAGGTAAGTTTTAACATATAACCAGAATGCCTACACTATAGTAGGTAAGTTTTGTCATATATCACAATATCTGAACCAGAATGTTCAAAAATGCCTACACTATAGTAGGTAAGTTTGTATAAGTAAGAAAATATACTTTGTATTGTGTTAAATGATAACCTTAAAGCTGCATGCCTTCAGATGAGCAAAACTATTTCGATAAATTCAAACCTGAGAAAAATGTTTTAAGATTTAAGGAAAGGTATAAAGATTCAAAATTCTAGTAATATTTTACATGTTATGTGTGATTAATGACCGATTTTTCAGTATTTATAGCTAATTTTTTACTGCGTTACTGACACAGTAAGGGCTATTTTTGCATATTTTGACCTCTTTATAGTAATTTACATGGGTTGTAAGTGCCATTGATAATGTGTAAATTGCATTCTTTAGGTTACTTTACAATATTATACTGTGAAATACATTTTTAAATTTTCAAATCTGGAGGCGAGCTGCTTTAAAGTTTAACTTTACTTTTTTATCACTAAATTTTCAAATCTGGAGGCGAGCTGCTTTAAAGTTTAACTTTACTTTTTTATCACTCTTTCCAATTATAAATTAATTAGTTTCTTTATTTTCAAAATATATTTTACGTAATATTTAATAGAGAAAATATAACATTTAATTTGTTTTATGGGTTTTTATTCGGGTTTGTTTTTTTTGTTTGTTTTTTTTTTGCTGTATTTATTTTGTTTTGTAAAATGTCACAATTTATGTTCCAAGTTTTTTTTGTATCTTTTATGTGGAGATTTATTACTTATTTAACATGTTGTTTATTTCAGCTATTGAAGGGACAAACTTCTGTAAATCAGCAGTAAAAGTGAGTTTATCTTATTTTGTTTTTCCAATTTTGGCATTTTATTTCACTAAAATGAAATTTTCATGTTAATAATAATTTCTATATTTGTTATGCATACAATTAAAACTGTAATTTGTTTCTGGGATATTTAGAGACAAAGTGTTATAAAAATGTGATAAAACGTTGGAAATAGAAACAATTTGGAACTCAATCGTTGAATGATGAAGTTTATAATTTGATATATAACATTAGTAATTATCACTAAAATATTTCTATATTTGTACAAAATTGTCACAGAATTATTTGTTTGTTATATATAATTCTGATATAAAATGTAGTGTTATATTTCATTTTCCAGTCATTTACAACATTAGTAACAAATGCTTTACGTGTGGCAGCAATAAACAGTGTTGGAGATTTTATCTTATTTCTTGGTAAAATTGGTGTAATGGCGGCCACAGCAGCTGTTGGTCTTCTTTGGTTTAAGGTAGGCTTTCTATATTTTAATGTAGTTCCTTTAATAGATATAAAACAGTTTAAATTTGGAAGTTAATTACTGAAACAATAATATTTCTATTAAAGTTAGAATTTTGTTATTATACATGTATGACTAGTAATTGTTATACCATCGTAAGCAAACCTGACTGATTCTACCCAGGTACCTACTTACACCTGTGGTCTTCCTTTTTATAGAAATTTGCATTGTGACTAAAACTGTTTCATTGTAATTAAATACAAAAACCAACAAGAGATAAAAATGCAGGGTAAGAGATGGAGATATATTTTATGTTTACAGAGTAGATCAGACCTACATTATTATGCTGTACCGGTGTTACTAGTGTGTGTTTTCTCCTATCTCATAGCATCATCATTCCTCTCTACATACGAGGTAATTCTTATATTCTTAACATTATATAACACATAGGGTTGATATTTTTATTGTTACCCACAAACTAATTTATTTATTTTAAGATTTGATTATACTAAATCAAAATCAAATACTGTAATAGTTTGAAATTTTCAATTGAACTATCATAGCTTTACTCTTTACCTTAAACTTGAGAAATTACTTTCCTATTATTGTTTTAGTACATGTTGATATCTACCAGCAATGAAATATGTAATGAACTAAGTTTCATTTAGAAATCAAAGTGCAGGTTGTGAGCTACTAGATATTATCTACAATTTTTTTGATTATTGGGTTGGGGTGGGCTTATTTTTATGTTTCATCATGATACACGTGTATGCAAGTTGAATCTTAAAATGGTACACTTTATGAATATTTGTTTTCCTTATTATTAGATAATAAGTTATTTAACCCTTTCACTGTCATAGAGACGGCTTAAGCCGTCCCTGTTATTTTCGGCGTATTTGCCATATGGACGGCTTTAGCCGTTTGTATAATAATAATAGTAATAATAATAAATTAATAATAATAATAATAATAAATATAAATATAAAGAAAATTATACCATAGACAATAATTATTATTATACTAACAGATTTGGAAACATATATAATTATTATAATACTAATAACAAATAATAATAATTATGTTGATTAGTAATATAGTAATTTCTTAGAAAATCCTCTGGCAAATAGGTGAACAATAAAACAATAACCCTCTGGCAGCGAAAGGGTTAATATTATAGAGGTAATACAATATGATAGGACATTGTTGTTTTGTTGTTTGATATACTAGATGTAGTTGAATATTTCTGTATATAGATGGTGATAGACGCAATGTTGCTGTGTTTCTGTCATGATTGTGATATCAATGATGGTTCTGCTGCTAACCCATACTTTGCTGGAGAATCTCTCATGGTTTGTATATATCCTGTACACTATGTTTATCCTCACAGGGTTGAGTGTCTGCCTCTCAATCCAGGGATCAAGGGTTCAAGCCTTAATCGGGTCACAACCATGTATCTTCATATGACACCAGTACTGGTTGGTTCCAGGAATTCAACTCAAAAGTGATTAATATGCAAGAACTTGTTTCGCAATTGAGCTTAAATAAATATGATTAAAAAACAATCCAGGGATTTTGGGTTGAAGCCCTACTGGGGTCACAACCATGTTTACTCATATGAAATGGTTATTAGGAAATAGATAACTATTTTGAGTGCATTGTTGTAGAATAATGCACGGTTCAAGTTCAAAAGCATACTAGGAATATTATCACGAAGGCCAATAAGCCTGAATGATTAATTACAAAGCATTTGAACTGATTTGACTGATAAACTGTGCATTATCATACAATAATGCAAGGACAATTATTATATTTTTTTCCATTCTAACATGCTGATATAAAAAAGAATTGATAAAAATATTTTAAACTACATTGAGTGTAGAAGTAATTTTCCTGACGTCATTTGATTTATTGATGCCATATGACATGTAAGCATTCCTTTTTACAGTGTGTAAATTTGGTGTAATTATGCTCTTGACCCTCACTATTTGTTTGATAGAGGAATAGTATAAAGTGTGTTAGAATGAATAATAATGTTTAGATCATATGTACATCCATCACACTTCAAAATAACTTCCCAACTTGGGTAAATGAAATATTTTCTGATGATTTTGAAAAATTTTCCTTGGCCTCAGTTGTAACAGAATGTATGTTGTCATCAAGGTTCATATATTTTGATTGTACATATGAAACATATTTTATACATGGTAATATGAATGACACTAAGGGTTCAAATACCAATCTCTACATGAATTCTGATCAATTGTTTCAAATACTCACTTTTGAAAATTAATATTGTTGATGAAAAATGAAAATTCAAAACTGCTACTTGAAAATGTATAAATACTTGACAAATAGCAAAATGTTTGAACTCCCAACATGTATGAATATTTGACAGGATTTTGTTGATGGTACCAGTAAGTCACTGAATGCAATGAGAATAGAGGAGAAGTCCGGGGAGGAGGCTGAGGCTGCACAAGTTTGAAACCCGGTGTAGCCACTGATATCTTACTAGTGGGGATGTTTATACAGAAAATAAAGAAAAGTTTATCCTGAGCTATTGGCTAGAACAAGAAATAATACTCAAACATTACATGTAATGATGATAGTGTAACATTTATAGGTAGGCTATATCAGTAATGAGCAAGCACCAATATATGTGACCAGTGTCTATAGTTAGGTTGTATAAACACTACAGACCAGGATTAAACAAACAAAAACAAAGCAAATTGTGGTAACGAAAGAACTGAAATGAAAGCTAAAGATTATGACAAATTACATGTATAGGAGGAAGTGAAATGTTTATGAAAGTTATGTAATAACACATATGATGTGAAGCTGACATATATTTAAAAGATCTGTTACACATTTGTAAAATGTGTATTTCATTTATTTTTATAAATGATCCTCATGACTAAATAACAATTAAAACTGTTATAAAAACCTATCGGAACAAAAGCAATTTTATCAAACGGTAATATTTAAGTTACTATGTGAATATATATATTGTTATAATTTGAGTTGCTGGTTAAGAAATGTAATTTTTGTGTAATTTTCCAAATTGTTCGACTTTGAGGACTACTTGTATAAAAGTTCTTTTTTTTTTTCAAAGGAAAATATAGATAGAAATTAGCAGCTGAGATTGATAGTTAAAACAATCGGCTTATTGGCTTATTTCAGACAAAGGGAAGCAACTTGTCTATATTTAAGTAAATCTATCATAATAGAAATGGTAGTCTTCTAACACTTTGTAAGTTCTGGTGATATTTTGATTTGAAAAAGCAACAACAAAAATGAGGAATAAGAAATATAGTTGCCATATTTGTAATATGAATTTAAATCACTTTCATAATGTATTCATAATTTTATACATACAGAAACAACATTGTTCATCTAAATGATTATGTTAATTACCCATTTACATATAATGTAAGCTCCCCATTAAATATATATATATATATGTAGTGTTGTGACGGAAGATTCAATGTTTACCATCCTGCCTAACTGTCCACTAGGGCTATGATTTTTGTATTTAATTTCAAACATATAGTACATAAATCTATTGTTGTTGTAGGGCCTTTGTTATATTCTTTTATTTACTATATAGTTTATAGTATGCTTTTGATATATATCAATTTAAAATTGTTTAGAAAATTATAAATGTTTTATTGTTTACCTGTTTATACTAAATCATTATAACATTTAATGATCTTTTTTTTGTAAAAAAATAATAAAATGAAATGAGATATATTTCATATAAAAGTAAAAATTGTAAATATTTAGGTAATTGCCTGTATATTTTACATTATATCTCTATAAGAGATAAATAATTGTTGTATATTTTGGCATAATTGTATGGTTTAAGATAATTCTGGTTGGGTGTATGTACATTTTTATACATATATAGCTTAGCATTTAAATCAAACTTGGGAATTAATTTTTATTATTTTCCAAGTTAAAAATGTTGGGCTATTACATCAGGATCTTTCCAAAAGAAATATCTTGGTAACATTTATAAGAGTTGATGCTTTATTACAACATATAGTCTTCTATCACATGATTTATATCAAACTAGGCACATGTTTCATATAACCCTTTCATTTTGGTTCAGAAAATATGTTGAATATTAATTGTACTATGATAATCATTATTACCTGTAACATTTTTACCTGACTCTTAATTATCTGTATAACAGACATGCCCTGCTTTCATTTGGTAATCATCTACTTTAAGGATATCAAAATAGTTCAATTAAACAGGTAATATAAGAGTTTTCCTATATAAATTGTACAAATGTGCCAGCAGGCAAAATTGTATGCAGATTCAATCATTGCATTAAAGTGGCTAGCTTTAAACTAAACAAGCGTTTGAATTCAAAATATTTTTTAATTCAAATTTGTTATAAAAGACAAAGTTTCTGAAGTCGAGTCTAATGTATATAACAGTGGTAGGTAAACTGACCATAAAACAATTATATATAGACAAGCTTGTTTACCTCAACACTTTCACTGCCAATAAGCAAGGGTATACCTTTCCATGTGCAGAACCACATATTTGCCTACAATAAGGGATTCAGAATTTGATATCTGATTATTAGTTTTTTTTGGTACTTTTATATACATTTTGGTTTGAGTTTGGAAAAAAACACAACATTTTAGTCTAACATTGTTGATTTTCTGAAATAAAAGTGAAGATTTTATATATTTTGTATACATAAAGTGAGGGGAACACATCTATAGTTAATTTCTCTAATTATTGGAGAAGTCCCAGACAAAAATGCCCTGTACTAATGTAATTTAAGCTCGGGCAGAGAAACAGTTAAATAAAGTACATGTTATCCATTCTAGTACATCAAAACTATTGACCTAACTACATTGTAGAATTGTCCTTAAAAGAAACAGATGCCATGCTGTTGATATGTATACAGTTACATTTGAGCCGCGTCACGACAAAACCAACATAGTGCATTTGCGACCAGCATGGATCCAGACCAGCCTGCACATCCGCGCAGTCTGATCAGGATCCATGCTGTTCGCTTACCAACTCTATTACAAGTAGAGAAACAGATGTTTTATAGCGAACAGCATGGATCCTGCTGATCCATGCTGGTCGCAAACGAACTATGTTGGTTTTGAGGTGACGCGGCTCAATTTTATATACATGTGCATAAATCAACTTTCAATAAAGCATCCATTTGATTGATTACATGTAATTCACGTCCTATGATTGGGAAATTTTAGTTTAGAATGTATGTTACATTAAACCTGTGTATAATGTATTAATATCATGTAGGTAATAAAACTATATTTTTGTAATGTGTAGGGGTGTTGGAAACATTTTACAAATGTATATATATATCACTGTATGTTATAATAACGATGTAAGACACAGTTGATCTACTTACAAAATGTCAGTATATATTTTCTCTGAATATTTTATGTTAATTTTTCCAAACAATGGTACATTGTATGACTGGTGTAACTTACCTCAAGTTACAGTAGTAAGTTACAGTAGTTTTACATTGTACCATTAAGTCCTTCTACTTTTGTTATACATATATATCCATTCCATTTCTTTTACTGTATAAATTTTACATTTTCCATCTTAAATATCTTCTTCCATTTAATGACATGACACTGTGTATAAATCAATTGAAAAACTGGTAAATGTTTTACAAATTATGGCTTATACAAGCGAACAGATATTTTATAAAGAAAAAAATTGTACTTATTTCTTATTTTTGCAAATTGCAACATCTATAGAATAGATTTTTTTTGTCTTGCATAAACTTCTCTATCAAGAGAAAAATGGTAACAACAGGTGTAATTTTCAGATCAATTTCATGAAAGTTTCTCCTAAGTATTTGTGGAGGAAATTTCAGATTCTGTTTTATACTACATGTTTTATGGTGGGAACTATATGTATGATTTATGTATGGCAAAATTTGATGCTTTTATTTTTGAGATTTCTCATTTTTACAGGGTGATTAAGGGACTCCACTGAGGTTTGTTGACATGACTGGACTTGAAATAGTTTGTTTTTCTCAAAATATGTGTACCATTTGATGTAGGTGTGGACCAATAACTAGTGCACAATTTCAGATGAATCACTAGCTCTGTTTTTCCAGAATAATTATTCTGATTTAAAAAAAAAGAAAAAAAAATGATCCAAAAATGTAAAGCTTTTAAAACATACTTAACTCAAGTAAGCCGAAGAGTTGCACAAAAAATATGATTTTCAATTTAATTACAAGTACATTCATATGTTTTAATATCTTTTGCATATCCTTCCATTTAATTGTCCAAGTTGGTCTATGCAAGAAATTCATATTTTTGGTTTTCAGACTTTTTGGCCTCAGTGGAGTTTCTTTTATTTATGAATTTGTTTGCTACTAAAATTATCGCAAAAGAGCAATGAAATAAGTGCTGTTTTAATAAACTTTATGTCCTGTTCTTTGTATGTTTATATGCTTTATTACTTGTGGGTAATCAAAAGCTACAAAACAAGTTCAGATGCTACATGTATATCATTGGAAGAAATGTAGTTATATAGCAGTGAGCATACTTGTAAGTTATTTTTGTGAATTCTGCATCTGATTTATATGCTTCTACAATAATTGTTATAAAATAAACAAAATATCATATCAATTTTACTTGTTGTTTTATTGGAAAAATAAAATAATTACAATCGTTTAAATGTATTACAAAAGTAAAGTGCAAATGCATCAATCTCAGTAAATTACCTACACGAAGAGAAAACCTAGTGAAGGGTAGTGGAGCTTCAGATATTATATGATTTTAATGAGATCCGGAATGCTTAGACTAACTATATAAGAAATTGTTCATGATTAAAGAATGCTGATGAATTACAAATTTGTCCGTGTCCTGACGGATTGAGTGGCCTGTAATAAACATACAGCTAGTGGCCTAAAAGGGTACTAGTTTGTATCACTATATACAATGTATGTGAGCCCTTCCTACAGGGACAACATGAAAATCCAATGTAGGACAGAATACAATCTGTACAGGATTCTTGTGCATTTTCATGTTACCTGCAATTAGACAGATGTTTAAAAACCATTGTTCCTAGAAGCTCCTATAACATACTTTTCTTACACACAAGTTACTGCATGTTTTAAGCTCACATTGGATTTCAGTACAGTTCTTCAAATAAATACTCCATGGAAATACAAGATGAATTCTATTTTTGAAAGGCCATTATTCTGAACAATGCTACAAATCTAAGCTCTTGGCTTTATCATTTCTTATAAAGTGTTACACCTGTGTCTCTGTCACAAAATTCAGCCTCAGGGTGTCTGGCTATTTTGTACTCCAGAGTTTTGATTCAAACATTATATTTCTTTGTAGAAGTTTACAAGATAATTCTAAGTGTCATTTATATAACATCTAGGACTTGCTGTTTCAAAGCGGAAGATATTTAAATTGTTTTCCAATATATTACTTGTCACAAAAAAGTATGGGTGCTACAAACCATATGTTTTTTTTTTGAAGACTATTTTTAAAACTTTTCCAAAGTTAGTCTCTGGCTTGGGGAATTTCTGAGAGAAAAAGACATGCTGTACATGTATATACGTAACTTACTAAAGGCTGACAAGATGATGTGGCATTTCATATTTACATGAAATTGTTCTAGATATTTCGAGGTAATTAGCACAGTGTTATAATACTTATTTTAAAGGACTGCACTGGTACATGCCAAATATTATAAGACTTGCCCCTTTAGTTTTGGAATTGATTTGTCAACAAATTTACATGTCCTAGCATAGTCGTTAGAGGCATAATTTATCAAACTTGTAGAAGACCATAAAGCAATGCCACATGTAAAATATTGAATGCTACAATTATACCTACATACAAATATAACTTGTCAAGAATATTTGTTATTTACGTTTTATTTTCTCTATAAAGATCTGCATAACAACAATGTACATGTTGTACTGTTTATACTTGAAATGTAAAAATATAAAATATAGGAAACATTTGTAAAAAAAAACAACTTTCAACACAACTCAAAACCAGTAACAAAGTTCTTCAACAAATGATATGTGATCATAAAGTTTCTTTCCATAATCCAAAAAACTAGGCATTATAAAAATGATATGTTGTAGTTAATAGCTGGAAAAAAAATGAAATAACCCCCCCCCCCCCCCTAAAAAAAAGTTGTCATGGTAGAGAAATATGAGAATATTTACAACATAAAATAGTCCAAAGTTTTCGCGGCATTTCTTAAAAAAGTGCTTTTGTCATGTTTAAATATATTTATTAAAATTTTTACAAACCATTTTACTACAATCAACAGTGATATGAAAGATTTATTTCATGCTTTCCAGTGTTTTATTTTAATATATTAGATGATTATATTCCGATAAACCACTAGTGAAATTTATAAAATATAATTTTCACTGTAGCCGGACTATATCTGAATGCGTATGAAAAGAAAATCAAAACTACATGGAATAACAGGCAGAAATAAATGCTGTCATGCGTAAATTTTGCTTCTTAAAGAAAAGGAAGTTGATGTCATCATACATCATGCTAAAAATGTAGCACAATTAGGGAAATTAAATAGACCTATGTTTCAAAATTGCTGATGTGACGTCATGATGTGATGACGTCACAAAGGAGAATGCGCGACGTTACGCGGCAAAATCAGTAAAAAATACTTAAAATCACCTAAAAAGCATGAAATAAAAAGAAAATTTATTTATTTTACATATAAGATTGAAATATATTTCATTCGTGAACACCAGCTATTATATATTCACTTGTGGCTACGCCACCCGTGAAAATATTGCATCTGGTGTTCACTCAGTGAAATTATATTTCAATCTTACATGCAAAACAAACAAATATCCTCTATATAACAAGAATATGATGTAAAGTGTTAAACAGAGAAAAAAAACTCAACCATCAGTCAGCCCAATATGTTCAGAGTATATCAAAAAAAGTTGAAAAATATTTAACCAGTTTGGTAGGTTACTTCCCTTAATTGTAATAAAATAAAGTAAACCTTATCAAAGCATAACATTGTTCACTAAATGTACGAAAGAGGTGATTCTAGAAAACAGAATAATTAACTCACTACATAAAGATATGTAAAAACAAACCATGCCGAATATATCACATGAATCAATAAAAAAACTAAGTTCAAACTTAACAATAGTTTGTAACAGAGTTACCAATGTCCCCCGCCTCGGGGAAGTTTTATATGAAGCATAAAACTGTTCTATTTCAAAAGACTGAGGTATGGATTTCAGGACTTTCAGTCCAAAATAATGATCAATGCTAGATCTGCAAATGCAACAATAAATTTATTAAAGAAATACTAGTCAAATGAAACATGGAATTTAAAATTCTATCATGTTAACCTTTGACCTATAAGTGTGACCTTGACCTTGGAGGTAGGGGTGCAGGTGCTGTGCATGACATATCATCTTATTAATATTACTATTTGTGCCAAGTATTTTCAAAATCCCTTGAACTATGTAGAAGTTATCGATCGGACACGAAATATACCCTATAACAGACTATGTCAATCTTTGACCTCTAAGTGTGACCTTGGAGGAAGGGACCCATGTGTTGCACCTGACATATCATCTTATTATTGTGATTATTTGTGCAAAGTATTTTTAAAATACCAGGTTATGGACTGGACACAAAATATACCCTATAACAGACTATGTAAATTTTGACCTCTACGTGTGACCTTGACCTTGGAGGTAGGGACACATGTGTTACGCATGACATATCAACTTATCATTTTGACTATTTGTGCCAAGTATTTTCAAAATCCCTTGATCTATGAAGAAGGTATAGACGGGACACAAAATAAACCATATAACAGACTCTGTTAACCTTTGACATCTAAGTGTGACCTTGACCTTGGAGGTTGGGGTGCAGGTGTTGTACCTGACATATTGTCTTATTATTGTGACTATTTGTGCCCAGTTATTTCAAAATCCTGACGAAGTTCTTGATCAGACACAAAATATACCCTGTAATAGACTATGTTCATCTTTGACCTTCAAGTGTGACCTTGACGGTAGGTGACCGGTTGTTGCGCATGACACATCGTCTCATTATTGTGATCAATTGTGGCAAGTATTTACAAAATCCCTTCAAAGATAATAAAGTTATGGATAGGACACGACATATACCATCAAATAGACAATGTTGACCTTGAATAAGCAAGTGCGACCTTGACCCTGGAGGTAGGGGTCTGGTTGTTGCGCATGACACATCGCCTTATTATAACAAACATTTGTGCCAAGTTATTTCAGATTCCTTTGATAAATGAAAAAGTTATGGACCGGTCAAAAAATATACCCTGTAATAGACTATGTTAATCTTTGACCTTCAAGTGTGACCTTGACCTTGGAGGTAGGTGACCGGTTTTGCGCATGACACATTGTCTTATTATAACAAACATTTGTGCCAAGTTATTTTAGATTCCTTTGATAAATAAAAAAAGTTATGGACCGGACACAAAATATACCCTGTAATAGACTATGTTAATCTTTGACCTCCAAGTGTGACCGTGACCTTGGAGGTAGGTGACCAGTTGTTGCGCATGACACATCGTCTCATTATTATGAACAATTGTGGCAAGTATTTACAAAATCCCTTCAAAGATAAGAAAGTTATGGACCGGACACGACATATACCATCAAATAGACAATGTTGACCTTGAATGAGCAAGTGCCACCTTGACCCTGGAGGTAGGGGTCTGGTTGTTGCGCATGACACATCGTCTTATTATAACAAACATTTGTGCCAAGTTATCTTTAGATTCCTTTGATAATTGACAAAGTTATGGACCGGACACGAAAGTGTGACGGACGAACGGACAGACGGACGGAGCCTATTACTATATCCCCCTTTTTTCTTCGAAAAGGCAGGGGACAATAAAATAATATCTTGAAAAAGAAATAAAATTGGAATGTGAAGGAATAAGCTTTTGTGGCAAAAAAAGCCAAATAATATCTTACAGAGAATAATGTACAAGTTTATCAACACACAAGTTCTTTATAGAACAAACAGATCAGATATCAATTGCCATAGGTACAAATGGAATGCCATTATGGAATGTAATAGTTTAATGTATATTAAGGAAGTAAAACATTTATAGGTACATCATTACTATATTTTTACAATTAAAGGAACATCAAATTCATCTAGATTTTTGTTGTTGTTCTCCAAGTAAGTACTACATAGATCTTAATCAAACAAATATATTTACTCATTTGTTTCAGTTTTAAGTGTACAGCTCACATGGTGATTGTTCCAGCTATACTTGTCCAAGGAAACCTAAGGTGTCCCTCTATACATTATTTCAGTCACCAGAGGGGCACCTGAATAAAATCACTAAGTTCTGTAATCTAGTTATATAATTCTTCACATACAGGAATCCAGTTTCCTATAACATATATAAGTAGGTAATTGACCTTCAACTGTAATAGCATTCCAGTATAAATTCCTTTCTAATATCATACTGTATATATACTTCAAACAATTCAAAATTGTTGTAAAGACAATGTACATGTACAAGAGTATTAAGGCAAATTATTGCCACATCAATACTAGCATACAACATGTATACAAGGGAATAAAACACTGTTTAAACTATCATATAATGTCAATATATGATGTATGAGATTTTTAACAATATTCAATATTTATAATAATATTTACATGAAATGATATAAGAACTTTAATAAAAAAAATACTGTTTAACTTCATAGGGCTATTGTTAATATCACAGGTCAGTACAAATACCACAGCAAGTCCAGCCTGCTGGTTAATACTTGTCTAGTTATTTTACTGCTAGTTAATAGTTGTCCAGATTTTTTACTGCCAAATCCACAATTTAAGTGCTTCCCAAAATCAGCCAAAAGAAAAGCTGAACAAAGTAATGTTGAAATTAACACAATTTTCATTTCTATCAACTGACTCTAAAAAAAATATTTTTCAAGTCATATTAATATAATTTGGAAACAAATAACAACAATGATGTTGTGATATTACAAAATAACCTATAATGAATGTGCAAAATACTGTTATATAAATAGTTTACTTGATGACTTATAGTCACTTGTTACAAATATTAACAAACATATACTTTCTGCTTGATGTATTATGAAAAAACATTTTAACACTTAAAATAAATATGGAATCAAGTTAATCTGAGCAATTAAATGGCATAATTAATTATTAATTGTATGCTTAAAATGCAACATATAAAAACTAAATCTGGAATTGAATAATAAGCTCTCAGAGCTTTTTTGCATTCATTGTCAATGATATGTTATAAGTTTTTCTATTTGTATGTCTTCCTGCTTACATTATGTATAAATATGTGATAATGTAATGAGTAATCTTTACAGAATAAATCATGACAAATTGAGATAACAAAACATGACAAACATCTGATTATGCATTAAGATTATACGGCAAGTTGGAATTCCTCGATGTTCTAGGTATAACAATGATATATCCTCCCCAACTAGAGTATCTCAACCTGTATATAAGATCTATATCTTCATCAGCACCACATCTACACTGTCATGACAGTCACAATATCTACACATGAACTACCACTCTCTCTACATCTGAAAACCGGCTCTGTAAAATATATATAACATATTGCATATTTTTACAAATAAGTTTATATATCAGCATATTATATCCATTCACCCATGCAATTCAATTACATGTTTAGCTTAAAGACGTTTTCGGGATTTTTCGTTTTTGAGTTACCTGCCCTTGAATTGGATTTTTTGTTAAATTCAAGGGCAGATATTTTACAATGAAGGGAAACAATACAATTTTTTTTCTTATTTTCATGTAGTTTACCTTCGTTTTAGTTGATATGCAAAATTTCAAGAATAAATTTAGAGTGGGTAGTTTTTATTCCCACTTCTTCTTTTAACTTGTGCATTTTTTCTTAAAAAATGGCCTATATTTTAAGTATTTAAAGTACCTTTATTTTCATTGAAAAAAATTAACAGAGTTCGATGTAAGGAATTGCATTTTATTATGTATTGTACTCAACAATAAAAAGAAAAACATAATCCAGAAGAAAAAAAGAATTCATTTAAGTATGTATAAGTTATCTGCCCTTGAAATGACCTCAAATAAGTAGAAAAGCCTGATTCAAGGGCAGATAACTAAAAAATGAGAACGGTGACCCCAATTTTTTTTTCACTTAAAATGTTTCTGTTATCATATTCTAACAACATGCCAAATTTAAAGAAATTATATTGAATAGTTTTAATTTTGCCTATATGTATATGAAAACTCCCGAAAACGTCCTTAACTATATCATTTTTATCCCTTTCATTGACAGTATTTCTGTGAATATCTCCATATTTGTTTGAATTATACACAAGTTTACCTGTATCTTAAGTCATGAAGGTGTTTATACAATAGGATAAAAATGTATCAGGCTTTCTTTTGTTATGATAACTGTGATGTTGTGCGACTGTGTATGTCAAAGTTTGCTGAATGAATGTGAAAATAAAACCATATAATTTCTTAGTCCTTTTGATAAGATTTTGCTTTGTGATATTTTCACTTCTGGGTGATGCAAGAAATATACAGGCATGTCCATCAAAAACTATCATAAAATGCTTATAATATATGTCTGACATTTTGAAAACAGTAATTTTTAAACATATTAATTTTGTTCTTGTATTCAATTCTTATATTTACAACTTTTATACTGTAAAGTAAATCAAGTGTAGAGCTCCCTTACTATATTGTTGACAGGCAAACACTTTAAGAGATAGAAATAAAGGAGTTAATTATTATACTAATGGTTACTATGGTAATATACCTGTATATCAATAAGCTGTTGGAGAATTTGTTCAGCTGTAGGTCTGTCTTCAGGTGTGTACCTCCAACAACTTTTCATTACACGATACCTGTTGTGTAATTAAACATACATGTACATATATATACCTGTTGTGTAATTAAATATACATATAACATCATTACACAATACCTGTTGTGTAATTATATAAACATGTACATAATACAAGTTGTGTAATTAAATATACATATAACATCATTACACGATACCTGTTGTGTAATTAAATATACATATAACATCATTACACGATACCTGTTGTGTAATTAAATATACATAAAGCATCATTACACGATACCTGTTGTGTAATTAAATATACATATAGCATCATTACACGATACTTGTAGTGTAAATAAATATACATGTACATATACCTGTTGTGTAATTATATATAATACATACACTGTATAACATCATTACACGATACATGTTGTGTATTTATATAACCACTAGAGCATCATCACAATATACCTATATTTGTGTTTTATATCCAATCCATTCACTTACAGAAATATTCAGTTTAACACATAAATGCTATGAAAACTTTCCTGTCATACAAGAAAATTTTTTTTGAACACTTCTGCATGAATAAACATATTCCTGTGAGCTAACTAACTAATAACAACTGATAATATTATAAAACACAATGTCTGTGTTTATTATGTTACAAAGTTAAGCAAAGCTTTTTATTCCATGAAAATACTAATACAAAATCCTTTAAATCTTAAGCTTTTTAGAAAATGTATATATTAGAAATGGTAACTTACTTGGTTAAATGGACTATTTGAGGTTTAGAAGGTCGTATTCCATCTAGTATCATCGTTTTATATTCTTCCTTATCAACATCTTGGAATGGTTGTTTACCAAGAGAGAAAATCTCCCAGAATGTCACACCAAAACTCCAACTATACAACAAACAAAAAATCTTTATCTATCAATGATATTTATCAGGGAGAAATTCTTTATCTATCACTATCAATGATATTTATCAGGGGAAGATAAACTAAAACAACCTCACTGCTTATTCAGAATTATTCAGAATTGTTCACATTTTTATTCCAGTTTTAACAAAACATAATTTTTCTTTAGCATTAAATACATACACATCTACATGTATAGCCATACCAAAAAATATGATTCTTAGCTGGATAGCTCTTCACATTTATGAATCCACAGAGGTGAGAGGCAAATAATTTGAATGTATATCAATTATCAGGAGATGACTTAACATTCTTTTATGTATGATGATAATAGTATGTATTCAACACTTTATATTCATTAAGAATATAATTATCTTTCACAACATGTTAAATTCAATAAATAACTATATATCTTGAAAATATATACATTATATAAATGGTATATTTATTCTAGCATGATAATATCGATGTAAATTATGATATTATAACATTCATGAATGAATAAGATGTGTATAATAAATAGAAATAATCTTACACATCAGATTGGTAGGTGAAATGTTGACGTAATAAAACTTCCGGTGACCACCATGGGTAACTCTCCTCTGGTAACTCAATCTATAAATTTATATACTGAACATCAATATTCCATACATTTATGTTACTTATTAAAGTACAATCTTTTTTATGTAAGAGTGAATTATATACCATTTTTTCATAAATGTCAATCATATACTATTTCATCATGTAAATGTCAATCATTAATTGTCAATCATTAAACATTTTTCATTTAACATTCCAATAGCTATGATGATAGCAAAACCTCTCTATGCATTACTTTGTACGATGCATCTGGTACTTTCCAGCAGTGGCCATTTTAAAATCATTGCAATCATTACAATGGAAGAATTGAAAAAAAATTTTATGAAAAAAAAAACTACTGCTTTCGTATATTTAAATGGTGTGCTAAAACATAACCACCTTAGAAACTTTCATTAAGCCCAAGATTGCATATAAAATTTCAAAAAACAAAAGCCCCATTTAAGATTCATAAGGTGTTGTTGTTTTTCCTTCTGCATCCTTAATGCACTAAAATTCATTTATAACTAACAGAATACTGGTATATTGAACTAATCATTTGTATGACATATGGCAGAGAAAGCCTGGCTAGACAATGTTTTAACAAGCAACATCAGATAAATGTTTTCTTACACTCTATTTTACATTAAATACAGAGAAAATGTCTGTCAATATTTGAACATACCATCAGATCTGTCTCGGAGGCATTATTTGCCCAGTAAAAATCTCCCAGCTTGGCAACTAATGTATCAGATACATAAATATGTTTTAACTGTACCATTCTGTGAATGATCTGAAATTATAAATACTCATATGTCAGCTAAACTTTTAATTCTGGTAATATTGTTTAAGTAGTTTTAGTGCAAAAATGATGCATTCAACCATTGAATAAATAAAAACAGCCCAATATATTTCAAGTTAATAGTTATATGTATGTATGTCTTACACTGAAATGTTACAATTTAACAAGTCTGTTTGTTTGCAAAAATGCTCAAAATTGATTATTTTACAACAATAAAGTTGCCAGATCTTTAACCACACTTGTAAGTGGCAAAGGGAGTGATGGCTTCATTTTCTTAAGTCCTCAACCATAACAACACAATAACACTAACAAGCATGCATTCAACTTGATAGTACCATACTTTCAGATCCAGGCTGTTTTTATGAGAGTTTATAATGTGCTTAACATTGAAGAATAAGTGTTGTTAGAGGTATAAATAAAGCCATTTAGGATAGCTTAAGACATTTACTATCAACAAAAAAATACATTGTACTGTTTTCTACTCAATCTGTAAAATTTATTTTATGTATGTTATTATGTAGATGAAAAGATTCCAAATAAATTGTTTAAACATAAACATACCTTCATTGTCTGTATATGACACAGTGCTGAACATATATCTATAGTAAACTGAAGCAGTCTACATATGTTGTCTGGTTCTAAACTTTCACCATCAGATTGTAAGTTCTGTAGATATTGCGTTAAACCAGTCTCAATACTGTTGTCAAAGGCAACACAATAAACATCTGAAATATTTCAAGATGTAAAAAACTTTCAAAACATGCATCATGAATAGAAATATCTAAAAGAAGAGCAAATAAATGAAAATAGAGTCAATGATATATGATTTTACTGAATTTGTTCCAGTTAGAATTTCACATTGTCATTCATATACATTTCTTAATCTATACATGTCATGTTTCTAAATATAAAATCCCAGGATGCACTGAATCACATGTTTACACAAGATATATTTATACTGTGGCCTCTACAATTTTCATGAGAATACATTATAAAATGATTAATTCTAACATAGTTGGTATCACATGTGCCTACTTTAATATGAGTTGACAAAATTTTGATTTAAAGTGAACTGTCTAATGATTAAGCACACCATGTTTGATGATGATCTGTCCATTGGTTCATGTTAATTACAGTAAAGAAATCTTTCATATAAAGCACACAAGGTTGCTACAGATAAATAAGAATGAATTTAAGCATTGTAAATGAGATTAAAGAGCACCCAGTATGTAACTCTCAAATACACTTTAGGTTTTGATATCAATTAGAAACCATCAGCCAATATTTTATAACAGGCCTACCTGTGTTTTGATATGATGTAATCAGGTTAACAACATTGACATGTGAACAGCACAAGGTGTGTAACTCTGATTCCCTCATCAACTTGCTTAAACTGCTTTTATCTTCTTCTATATCTGTACAATATAACAATCATTATCATATGTGCAGCGTCACAACAAAACCAACATAATGGGTTTGCGACCAGCATGGATCCAGACCAGCCTGCGCATCTGCGCAGTCTGATCAGGATCCGTGCTGTTTGCTTACCAACCCTATTACAAGTAGTCTGAAGTAGAGAAACTGATAGCAAACAGCATGGATCCTGATCAGACTGCGCGGATGCGCAGGCTGGTCTGGATCCATGCTGGTGGCAAACCAATTATGTTGGTTTTGTCGTGACGCGGCTCATATGTGTAAAGTTATACAATTTTTGTTAGTTTGAATGTGTAGGAAGCAATTAAGTTCTAGTAACACACTCAAATCTGTTTCTTGATCCAACTTGTACATCCAACAGCTTGTCCCTGGCATGGTTTAAACCTGGATTACAAGTCTGACACTTTTCGTTAATATCTTCATTTGTTCCTTTGTTCATTCATTCCTTCCTTCAATTTTTTTTTAAGGTTATCAATACACTGACTTGATGGACTGCAAATGTCACGTTTTGACATTGGAATGTTGAATGGGTTTCAAAATCAAATATCAAAATTTGACAGGTTACAGTATAAAGTCTTGCTAAAATACTGACATACAGCAGTATAGGATAGTGAGTCAACAATGACAAGCTGGTCTGGTTCACACCACTTGTTTAAATACAAACAACAAGACTAAAATAGGGAGAATATAACACCGCCTGTATAAATAATTAAACAAATATCTCCAACACTATAAGGTGTAATAACATTGCAATCGTAAATTAATTGTCACAAAAACTTTCTGTTTTTGTTCAATATCAATTGATTGAATGCATTAATAAAGTGAAAACTTCTGAGAATTTTAGCAAACCATTTCTTCCAATAAAAGACATAAAAATAGTTTTTATGCTGATTGAATTGTGTAGAATACTGATACAATCTCTTTAAAGGTGATAAACATTTTAATCAATCTGGAACAAATTAAACTCAGGTTGTTCTTCTAAAGAAACCATTTCATTTTCATTGATCTTTACAGAAAGAGAAAATTAACTAAAGCCATTTGAAGAATCTTCTCAAATGTACAAATATAAATATTCAATAGAAACTGTACAAACCTTTTAACTTGACAAGTTTTACACAACAATAATGTTTTCTAGCTCCAGTATTTATCTGTCCTTTATATAATGTATATATGTTAGTTTTGTTGATTTCTTGTTGAAGGTTGATCTGTAACCTTGAACTTGTGTCGCCTAGCAACATCATGTCACTATGTGTACTCTGATTACTTCCTCTATCACCTGATGGCGCTGTACGCTCCTAAAATGTTTACATCTTATTACAACTAGTAACTTTACTTCATAACAAAAATTCAAAATTATAATGAATTAAATTAATTGCAGGGTTTGTTTATTCACTCTGATGAATGATATTGGGTCATGTTCCCAATATAATTTTTTTCTCTCACAATTTCAAAGAAATATTCTCAATACAAGTAAAAAAATCAAACAAAAAACTGAAATCTACGTTTTAAGTCCCACCAACACAGTCATATGGCGACTTTCCAGTTTACTTTATTTCAGGCACAAATTGGCACAAGAGTAGAACCACCAACTTTCTGTAAGTTAGCTTGATAGTTTCCTCAAATGAAAGAATCCAAAGTCTTTGTCAGGATTCAAGGCAAGCAGTTTGAAGTCAGCAACCATAACCACTCGGCCAAGGATGCCTCTCAAAATACATCATACTACATATTAACTTAAATTACTATCTGACTATAAGTCCTACAATATTTTTCAAACATGCATACACGAAATATGATTAGGCCTACAATGTAACTATATATAAATTTTGACTTACAATAGAAACATTGGCATCTCTGTACACCACAACTGGCTCATCACATTTTGTCTTGGTTTTTAATTTACGTGATTTCAACCAGACAACAACAACAATAGATAATATGATAATACATATAACAGCGGCAACACAACAACCTATAACAAGATCCATGTTAACTGTCTGTCCTACAGTCTCTTCTTTACTGTATAGTGCTGTAATATATATAAATATCATTACTGGTACTACTGAAGTTAAAAAATTATGATCAAGGTACAAGTTTGCAGACAGCAAGGGCAATGGCAAAGTCAATGCCTTACTGTAATAATACGTCTATTTATTTTTTCAAAAAAAAAGAAAAAAGTCAACCTCAAAATATACCTGGTACAATAATTGTCATATGACATTTTAATGGAAAAATGCACTAAAGTTTATAGGGAAACTTTTGTATCAATGTTTCAAGTTAAGAATTTACTTTTGTAATAAATGAAATCAATTCAACAGAAATAGCCACCATTTACGAGATGACTCAAAACTGAGAAGTTTCAAGGGCAAAAAAAAACAGGTTTTTAAATATATTTCTTCAAACAAAAAATGCCCCTTTCTGCACATATTGTCATGTAAAAGTAGATGATAGATCTATAATATATACTTTTGAGTAACATCAAATAAAATAACAAACTACTGTCTTTTGATAGCAATTTTATCAGGCTTGGCTTGAAAATTGATATCAAAAGAGTTAGACATTAGCATAATACTCTCTATTATACATAATTTTCAAAAATATAGTATAAAACAATCGGGCAAACAAATGTTACCTTTCATACATTTTTCGCCAGTATATCCGACCATACAGCCAGAGCCAGGTAGACAATCACCAGTATATATATTACATGGTACATTATCTCTACAATGACCACACTTTAACTCACAATTCTCACCATAACTACCCGGCTCACAATCTGAAATATAACAAGCATTTGATAGTATTGCGGGCAATACAGGAGTCCCCTACCGGTCCCTCAAAAAGTTCTTTAATTGTCATACACTCCTGTGTATTGCCATTTATAATGAATTTGAGGATGAAGTCTGTATTTGAAAATATCAACCACAAAACATAATAAAATAAGTTTGTCTATATCACAGTAATGTGTTAAGTTTCCATGCTTAGTAAGGAAATTATGTTTATACAACCTTGTCATATTATTACGATGTGGGATTTTAAAGTAAATCCTATAAGGAATGAAGAAGTTGGAGTGAAAATACCAGTTTCTCGAAAAAAATCTAAGTTCAAGGGGGACATAATTCTGGAAATAGTCTTGCTAGAGTATTTAACCTTCTCAAAAATGTTGATTGATAATAAGAAACATATATATGAAGTTTGAAGTAGATACATTAGGAAATAAAGAAGTTATTTAAAAAAGACAACATTTTTTCCCCTAAAAAATCTAAGTTCAAGGGAGGTAATACTGATATTTTTTGTGCTAGAGTTATAAACCTTGTCACATATGATGTGGTTGATGACCAGAAACTTAAATTTAAAGTTTGAAGTAAACACCTTAAGAAATAAAGAACATATAGTGAAAAAGCTGAAAAATTTAAATCAGAAATCTTGAAATTCAGGCTATTTGTTGCCATAGCAACCAGAATTTTCAACATAGGAAGAAAAGAAAAAGATGTGCATAATCTCCAGACTGCCATCTACACATATTTCAAGTTTCATAAAAATATTTTCAGTACTTTTTGAGTTATCACTGGATCCAGTTTATGTGTTAAATTTGCCATATTTTCAGACTATTTGTTGCCATAGCAACCAGAATTTTCAACATAGGAAGAAAAAAAAAAGACGTGCATAATCTCCATACTGCCATCTATCCATATATCAAGTTTCATAAAAATATTTTCAGTACTTTTTGCGTTATCGCGGGATCCAGTTTTGTGGACGGACGGACTGACGGACTGACAGACTGACAGACAGACAGACGGACAGACAGACAGACGGACAGACGGACGGAGGGTAAACCTAAAGTCCCCTCCGGTTAAACCGGTAGGGGACTAATAACATATTACACATCACACATAAAACACAGTAAACATTAAATCAGCAATTCTAAATATACTTTATAATGGTTATAGTAATTTATCTAATATGGATGTATTATCTTTTTTTATGATATAAAAAGTAATTTATTTACAATGAATATAGTAATAAATTTTTGATGGATATGGTTATTTATGATGGATAAACATGTACATGTAATTATTTGATGATGATAAAGTACTTTATAGGTGGCAGCAGTGGCCAAGTGGTCTCAACCCAGGAATCAAAGGTTTAAGCCCTACTGTTGTCACTACCATGATTCCTCATATGACACCAGTACTGGTTAGTTCAAGGAAGCAAATTTGACAGTAATTAATATAAGTTGCAAGAATTTCTTTCGCAATCAAGCTATAATAATTATGTTTAAATTCTGATGGATATAGTAAATTTTTTAGGATGTGTATAGATATCTTATTTATAATGTATATAGTATCTTATATAATAACTTACTCTCATCACACATGTCACCATGTTTACCGATGCCACAGGAGATACATGTACCAGTGATCTGATTACATGTACCATTCATACACAGTGTCGGACATGACTCATCACACTTCTTACCATGATATGGTGTCTTACAACCCTTTATACAAAATCCTGAAACATAATGTCTTACAGTCATACAAACACATATTATTTTAGATTTATTCTATTTGTGAACCTTAATTAGTTTAAAAATTGATTTACTAATATTGAGAGAATTATTGTTTATACAAGAGCGATCAGTGATCACATGTGTCACCTCATGATGGCCAATTTCATGTTGGGACAAGTTTTGTGACAGACGGACAGTGCACAACTAGACTTGGTACGGATCATTCCTGTAAAGTTTGGATAAAATTGCACCAGTAGTTTATGAGGAGTAGTCCACACAAGCTTTTGTGTATCTGGCAACACACAGAAAAAAACACCTTTTTATCAAAGGGCCATAACTCGGCCAAAAATCATTCAACCGGAAAACCTGTGCAATATGCGCAAGGACTTGAGCTACAGATCAATCCTGTAAAGTTTCATTGAAATTGCATTAGTGGTATAAGAGAAGTAGTCCGGACAAACTTTAAAAATAAAAATTATTAAAGGGCCATAACTCTGACAAAAATCATTGAACCGGAAAATGCTGACAATATGCACAACAAGATTTGGTACTGATCATTCCTGTAAAGTTTGGATGAAATTGCACCCGTAGTTTATGAGGAGTAGTCCGGACAAGTTTTGTGACGGATGGACAAACGCCCAAACATTTTGGGTTAAGGGGCTATTTTCTTTGTTTTCTTAAGGGCTACTAGCCCATAAACCCTTTGATCACGGAATGAACCTATTGTTCTCTTTTGTTCTCTTTACTGTTACATAGCCCCTAAACCCAAAATGTTTGCTCGGACAGACAGACGGATGTACTCACAAAATGGTACTTATGTGACTTTTCCTTTGATCTTTTTGGCCATTTTTAGTCACACAAGGCTTAAAAAAAGAAACACAAGTAAAAACGGAATGAATAGGATCAAAGAGAATTTACTGTTACCCATTGTTCTCCAAGTCACACAAGTACCCCTAGGTTCGTACTGACGGACAGACAGACAACGGAGAAGTGATCCCTATATCCCTTGATGTTATTCATTTTATCTCCAGACTTTGAAATATAATGAAGGTTAAACACATTTTTCTATCAAATATCTTTCATGTCATGAGAAAGTGACAATTATACAGTGAAAACATAAAGTTTTTAATTCAAAACAGAAAAAAAGTTGAATATTTTACCTGTAGTTTTGTTACATGCAGCATCAAAACAGTTCTCACTACAGTGAAGATTACAACTTGCTCCATAGAAACCATCTATACATTTACCCACACAGTTTCCATTAATCTGTTCACATATACGACCGACACATTTATCACTACAAATATTCATACATGTTGTCCCATACCAGCCAGTATTACAACCAGATATACAAGACTTGGTGATTTTATCACACACTCCATCTTTACAGTTTGGACTGCAATCATTGGGACAATTATTTGCACAAATGATGTCACAATCTTCCCCAGCATATCCAATCTTACAACCGAGAGAACAATCTCCGCTAGACTGCTCGCACATGTCTTCTTTACATCTATCACTACATGTCAAGTTACAAAACACCCCGTATTTCCCCTTGCCGCAACCATCAAGACATTCTCCTCTAATTGCGTCACATGTTCTTTTATATCCCTGTACAACATGACGGCAATTTTCTGGACATGGATATTGACACATCGGACCAAAATAGTTCTGTGTACATCCAGACAGACAATTACCTGTAACTCTATCACAGACATTAGATTCACAATTAGAATTACAAGAACTGTTACAATTATCACCGTATGCTCCATTTATACAGCCCTGTTCACATGCCCCTGTGTCTTTATCACAGTATATATAGCCTCCGTAGCTTCTAGGTCGACAGTTTCTGCTACAGCGGCTTTCACATGTAGGTCCAAACCTACCTGGCTCACAACTTGCACATATTCCGTCTGTAAAATTGGGACAATCTATGCAGTGTATAGGACAATCTCTGTCACAACGATAACCATACCACCCTTCTTCACAGTCACAGTGCCCGGTACTGGCTACACAGGTATTATTGAGGCAGTGGGGATTACACCTCATCTCACACTGGTCTCCATAGTAACCATCTAAACAGCCACCAACACAGTCAGAACTATGATCCTCACAACTGTTACGACATGTTGCCGGACATTTAGCACACATCTTATTTTCCACATAATAATCTTTGTTACATTTAGAACAGACAACGTTCCTGTGATAACTTAGGGAACATATTTCACAGTTAGATATTGTACAATATCTGTCACAGAGATAATCCTTACCAAACCATCCCTTCTGACAACCATTAAAACATTCCCCAGTATTTCTGCTACATTCACCTATACAATGACGATCATCACATGGTTTACATGAAAACCCGTCCGCCTCTGAAATCATAAGATTTATGTAAAACAAAACATATCAAAACAAATTACCAGATACCTGTGTAACAAAGTAGTCAAAAATATTGAAAATATCAAGAAAAGGAATGTCCTTTGATATTTTAATTAAGGAATAGTACACAACACTAAGGGCCTCACAGTATTGTAGGGATCAATCAGTCAACCTGCAAGCATTTATCTGACCAAAACCTAACTCTCAGGTCTATTCAATGATTGGGGCTGACTAAGAGATCAATAGAATGCCTGGAGGTCTGTGCTATTTCTTATGTTATATCGCAGTTTACTAGAACAAAATGTTAAAAGTACGAGAAATAAAATCATTTTCCAAGTAAATTGTACTGAAAACTTTTGGCACTCAGCTTGTTTAATGCAGGTTTTGTAAAACCTTCCTCGCAGTAATACACTGTTGGAATGCTGACTTCATAATCATTGTGAATATTATACTTTTTTAAGACCTGATCACACTTATATAGATAAAGAAGGAGCATATTTGTGTAAGGTATAAATTTACAAATTATTAAGAGTAGAGGCAAGGAACACATCTCCTCATGTTTATTCATTAATCTAAATCTCATCAATGAAGCAATTACACCAAGTGCTTTAATAAAGTCATTACGAGGTGCTTTTATAGATTTATTACAAAGTGTTTTTTATTACGTTTTGTCAATGTGATTAATAGAGAGAATCTCAACATCATTTTCTGAAAAAAAATTATTCTCCATCTATCCAGGTTTTTATTACAATGAAGAAAGAAATACATTCACATGTAGTATAAATCATTTACATAACATTAAAATTATAATAAGGTTTGTATAAACTTTTCTTTGATCGGAATCAATTTAAATCTTACGGTTTAATGCTGTGAAGCTACTAACCAAGACATTACAAAACAAATTGGATATATTGAATTGTTGAATCAAACAACTTTCATTATTACATGTATTTAACGACAAATAAACCCCTTAAATAACAGCAAAAAATGACAAACCTGGGTACATTCCGTTATTACAGCTCTTACAGATAACTTGATCTTTTTTGTGTGCACATGTTGTACAGTTTGCTATGTTACACTGGTACAAACACTTGCTACCAAACCAGCCATTCTTACACTCTGGACAAGTTCCCGTGTACGAGTCACAATCTCGAGGACCATTTTTACAGTACTCACTACATCTCACACATTGTTCCCTGTTTTCATCCCAGTGATAGCCTATAATCAGTGAATGAATTTATCTATATTAATAATACAGTCATCAACTTTAATTACCATATTAATCTTAATATCAATTTCCCTGTAATTAAGTTTTTGCATTGTGTTAGGTCCAGTGCCTGTTTTTGACAGTATTTTAGTTGTCACATGAAAATACCTTACCAGAGTTCTTGATTCTTTAACAGTATGCATCTAGTATTCTGCGAAGTATGAATACTTTTCATTGGAACCATTAAAGGCTAATCAGACAAATTTACATCTCACATTTAGATATCAAAACTTCACAAAACTTATACTCCTCTTACTGAACCTTCCCTTACATAATGAACAAGTGTTATATCCAGGAAATATTAATATATTAATTATGCAAGTGTTAATATAATAATGTAAAATATTCTCTCTAAAAAGAACAAAAAGTATTGGGTGAGAGTTAGGTCATAAATATGTATTGTTACAGGCAAACTAGACATAATCGAAACAAGAGCATGTCATGTGGTGTTAACGTTAGTCTGTTAAAAAAAATTCTTAGTGAAAAAAGGGGCATTACTCCAAAAATATAGCTTTCAGAATGATGCCCCTTGTCAAACTACTGTGCCTTGTCATGTGACAAGCAAGCCTTCAAAGTTTTATATTGATACTTTTAAAATTGTTTGAGTTATGGGCCTTATTAAAGTTTTTGCAGGATGACAAAGACGGCACTGCTGTGACCATAATAGCTCAACTTTTTATTCAAAACATATAAGCTAGTAATTAAATAACCATACTAAATAATACTGTATTTAACTTTAAAATTTGGTGTGTAAATTTGTCCTCATGTGAGATAACATCAGTGATTGTAATAACTTACCTGAGTCACACTGCCAGCAGTATGTATTGCCATGAGAACTTACATCACATCTCTTACAGTTCTTAAACGGACAATCTTGATCCTGGCATTTGGCTCCACTATATGGTGGCTTACAACCAAACAAACAATTACCACCATGGTCACATGTGTCAAAACCCTTCACTCCATTACATTTGTCTCCACAATGTAGATTACATAAAGGTCCATAAAAACCAGCATCACAACTGTACAAATAACAAATTACATTATTTTTGAATATCTTGAAACAAATATACTTTCAAAGACAATGTTGAATATATATTACACTATGCTACACTACAAAATAAACATATTACTATAATTATCATAAAAAGTTCTACCACTAAAAACAAAACACTTAAAATTACAAAATACTAGAAAAAATTCTTTAATGAAACTTATATATATTAACAAATCACCAAAGATTTAAATACCAAAAGCTTTCAAGCAGGTGGCTATGAAATATCAAAATAGACAGAATGACATTCTACTTCATTAGCATGAAAAATTCAAAATGTATCAGTTTATCATGTATCTGTTTAATCAATGTTTAATCATAAATGATACTTATCATATAAGTACCTAATCTCACACCCAACCTATTCTCAAACCTTTCATTCATTTGCTGTTATTTTTTTTCTATAAGTGACTATGATGTCCTGAACTTGTGTGCATTAAAGCTTTGTTTCTGACAGACATGTCTGCTGATGTCAAATGAAAACAGTGCATAGGAACAAATATTTACATAACATATTTTATTACTTAGCGTAATTTCATACAAATCGCTATTACCTTTGTAAGCCCCATAAATACACCATTACCTATTTGTGAAAATGAATATTATAGACAAAATATCTTAAAGCAGGTAACTACATCGTGTAGGGTACTTCATTGTCATGTGATAGTCATATAACAATTACTTCATTGACTAAACTTTAGAGATACTTGAAGGGGTTTGAGATTAGGTTCTTTATTTAAAGAGGCCATGTTAGTTTTAAAACAGAGGGTTGTGCTTTTCCAAGATGGAAATAGAGCTTTTTCAATAGTTGAATTTCAGTCAAATTTTACAGAAATGTTACATAAAGATTAAAGTGTACATATGTAGAGAATTTTTATAAAGATATATTTTTATTCACATTATAAGACCTCTTGAATGCTTAGAGGTTTGAGAACTGGTTAGTTCACGATAATGTAAAATTTGTAATAATCTATTGAACACCTTTCCCCAAGAACATGACCATGCCAGAATATTACCTTGTACATTCTTCTATTGTAGAAGCTGGTACAGTGCATTCCCTACAATCATCTACTATACATCTCTGATCACATCTGTCATTCCTCCAACCTGGTTTACATCCAAATGTACACACCTTGGTGTTAGGATCACAGTATTCCTCACCATATAGACAATTTCTGCAGCTTCCTTCACATTGTACCAGTCCTACAATACCACAATACTATACTCATTAGTCACATTTTTATGTACACAGATATATACATGTAAAAGACTTATTTAAATACATTTTAATTATTTGGATGAGTTCTTGAGTTCAAGACAAGTGACATTGAGTATGATTGGCCTTTGTCTTACTGACCCCAAATTAAAAGAGGTCACCTAGTAGTTATGACCAATTCCATGCCAAACTTTAGGACTGTAAACAGTACTCTAAAAATTATTGGTATGGTAAGCATTTTGTGCTCAAGGCTAAAGTGACCTTGGCCAAATTTCAAAAGTGACCTTGGCCAAATTTCAAAAGGGGACTTTTTTATTAGACATGACCAACCTCTGTACAAAATCTGAGGACATCAGGCCAATTACTGAAATCCTTCACCCATCTACAAATAGTGCTAATTCCAACTGCACATATCGAGTCAACTTCCTGGAGTGCATTTAATATTTCAGTCGCTTTCTTTTAGGGGTTTCAGCACTTACGATTCACAAATCCAACCATGAATCTTTTGTTATCGTCTTGATATCTTGAATAACTCTTAAAACTTAAACATTAGTTCTAAAAACATGTTTATTTTTCTTTAAACAATTCATTAAACATATAAAATTATGCAAATATAAACTAGGTTTTGGTTTTTTATTCTTTGCAAGAGTATCCTAATGTATATTTGACAATGAGCAACCTATACAAAAGTATTTCAAAACATTGGAAGTAAATTTTGCCGGTGAAATTTAGGTAAACATTGCATAATTCATACTCAAATTTATTTCTTCCCTGACTTTTAGAGTGAGAAACAGTAAATGTATATAAACAAATAAGATTGCTATCCACGATCTTAGGACTTACAAATATTTGTACTCGTTTATTCATTTCGATTTGTGATTATCCGAATACTCGGATACTCGCCCCAGCCCTACTTTCTTTCAGCGCCTACACTCTTGCTATATGCATAAATTTCATCTTGCGTTCGAGCGAACGCATCTTCCACAACCATTATGTTGTTTGAAATGACACCACAAAAAATGACTTAACATCAAGATGTTTTTTTTTTCACATGGGCTTATGCACAAAGGGTTTAGTTACTTGCCAAGATTTGTGTCTTTATCTTTTTCCAATAAAAAGTTACCAATTTAAACTCTCATTCATTCCTGGATGAACCTTGGAGATTATGGTAAATCTTATAAAACATGATGAGTCTACAGTCCAGTCTGCGATGTTGAATGGATCGCCAACCCAGTTCTTCCTGCATGGCTGAGACACTGGAGAGTAATCCCTATTTACCCATCATAATGCAGGCCTCTAGATCATCATTCATCTCATCTGTGTTTTTGATGATCAATATGAATGACTTGGCACTTTGAAGGGTTAAACTCCATGTCCAACTGCTTAAAGAATTGTGTTTTTAGGACATATCTCAAATATATGGCACAAAACAACAATTATTTGTCTGTGCCTTTTTATGACAAATCTGTCTCCTCTAGAGACCATATTTTCTAGATCATGTTGGACTGTTGGGGGGGTCTGAGGAGATATTGATGGTTAGGTAGACAGTAGTGTCATATGAAAATAATATGACTTGAGATTTAAGGACAGAAGATGTTAGCTAGTTGATATAGAAAAGGACACAGAGGGTTCTAGGACTGAGCCTTGGGGCAGTACAGAGGTAACTGGTACATCAGATGAGCAGTCACCATCGGTCTTCCTTGTAATCGAGAGGTGCAGAGTTCAAAACCCATCACTGTCTGAGGATTAACAGGTTTGCGATAGAATCTACTAACTTTATACAATGGTACACTTCGTCTTGAACCTCAGAGTCAGACTCGCCAAAAGACGCATGAAATTATAGGGTAATCCACAAAACAGTAAACATGAGTTACAAAACAATACAAAACATGAGTTAATGTCTAGTGATCCAAATTAAATTGTGTTAAATCTATGAAAAAAATTCTTTGCTAAACCTGAAATGAGATATGACATGAAATGATAATAATCTGATAAATTATGACTATAGATCTAATATTTTTACATATCCGAAAATATATCTACAAACGTAACATTTTTCTTGTTTCTGGATAACTTACCAATAACTAAAAGAATTACAATACATTTCAAAAGAAATTTTGTTCTAACTAAAGATGTTAACATTCTCATGTAGCTTTAATTAGAGTTCATTTACGTAAAATTAAAAAATTCCCAAATTGACATTTTGACGGAAGTTGACGGTGACGCGTGTAATAATTACGTTCGTGAGATTCGCACTCGACGTTTGTCACGCCCCCTACCACCGGAACAATAATGTGACACGCTCGTGCCATTTATGAAAAGCGGCGTATGATCACCAAGTAAAAGAATGCGTGTGTCCTAAATGAGAAAAAAAAATGGTCGGAACTATTCAAAATGGAATTTTAAAGGTTTATGAAGCCTACAGATAAGACGCTCAAAGCTAAATTTAAAAAGCAGGCTACATACAGTATCCTTTACAGTTTTCAAGAAGGAAACTGGAATCATATACAAACAAAATATATCTACTTTTCGTAATATTTTAGGTAATCCTCCAAACTTCAAATGAAACAGTCTTAGTAACCAGCAGTGCAGAACAGCAACACATTTACATACTCTGATTTATAAGATAACTTAATTCTGTCCCAGTTTATACATATACTTCAAATGCATATAAATAAGTAGTCTCATTAACGTAACATATGCATTACATAACAAATATACTATAAAGCATCCGACCCAAATGCGCAATAAGTCACCAATACCTTAGACATGATAAATACAAATACATGTGTGTACATTGTATTTGAAAAAATAGGTGTATTTGAAAGACTTTGTTAAGAAGGGCCGGTGTAGTTACGAAAACCAATGCTTGCTTTTGTATTTCTATTCTAGGTGTGCTCACCAAAATGTGTATGGCAACTTTAAAAATAACCCCTTCAGGCAGGGTCTTTCTATTTAAAAGCCGGTGCTAGGGAGCATGAGAGATGTTGCACTTTTGCATTATCTCTCATGAACAGACAATAAAACCGAGCTGCAATTTCGTATAATTAATATTGTTGTTTACATTGCATCGGAGGGATTACCCAATTTTCAGACAAGTCCCATGTTATACCGTTTGTATTTATTTTTATCACGAAGTGTTTGACTGTATTTTTTACTGCAGGTCTACTGTAATTCGCATACAACTGGTTTATAAACAAAACATGTGCCGAGCTAGAAAAATCTACAGCATTTCATGTTAACAATCTACTATATCCACATGAAATGTGCAAAATCCTTAAATGCGCATGCACTTGATTCGTGAGCAATACATTTAAAGTGCACGGAGTTCAAAATTGTAAGATTTATAAATAATAAGTTTAATAATAGTAATAACGCTTTGATTTTTGTTCTGAACTATATACATTGCTAACTTTTGAAAAGAACATTGGAAACAATAAATAATAAAGCAGCTTCTACTATCGACATATCTGTTTTGTTTTTAAATCCTATATCCTAGTGCAAAGAAAACAATCCGTGTTAACATTTCTTGAAGTGTTGGGCACATTGTAAAGCAGCCATTGCTATATTGCTATTGCAAATAAAACAAAGCTTATTTTTATTCTTCTCTTAACACGAATGCTGCTATTTCAATTACATTATCTAATTATTGGTGTTACAAACATATGGAAATTACAAACTATTTAAAGTTTTAAATTATTCATCAAAATGATGTTTGTCTATGGCACATTATCTCTTGGAAGAAAACACGTTTCACTGTATTTTAATAATTTCCCCATAAAAGACATATACATACCAGCCACCTACTGTTTCACTTGATGGTTTATGCCATGTTCAATGCATAAGTTAATATCAAAGAAAATAACAACGATTTTCCTCCTTGTTTAAAATATGTCTTATGTCAATAAATGATACTTCTAGGAAATAATGTCAGAAACAAATGCGGGAAGATAAATTTCCCCAGAGATCTAAATCTGTCTAAGTGTAATGCACAGAGTTGAGTTATTCCTGTAGCAAGTGATATTTTTTGTAAATCAATGTTTACAGATTTTACGAACAGAAAGTGATGATAACACTGAAAGTTTTAACATCTCATGAATAATTATACAATTCGAATATATAAAAAAGTTTCTCCGAGAAAAAATAATGTTAGATATATATATACATGTGTATATTCATATGACATAAAACTCCGTATGGATAACTCAAACAAGTGTAAGTTCTTTTTTCACTGAAAGTTAACAAGTCCACGACTAATGGGATTTTTAGTCACACAAATTTCTACTGTACAACAATCCCAGTTAACTGGTTGTATAAGATGTTTCCCACTCCCGGTTTAATATACTCATTGTTTCCGTAGCCGAAAGCATTATCAGAAGAAAACATATCAAAGAGTTGTGACATATAACACAATAACACATCATTATTATCTGCTTCATTCGTCTTTCACATGGAAAATGCTGACATGGAAACATTGCCGACTTTAATTCTTTAAATCAATATATCAAATTTCAAGTCATCAACCAAAATACAGAATCACACAAATTTCCCAGTAGAGTTCTTCAAATAAAACATTATAATAAGGATTATTGAAGATCTGCTAGATAGGAATATGGTATTAGGGAGGGAAAATATCGGCACATTAGGAAAAGAGATCAAAATTGAGCCACGTCATGACAAAACCTACATAATGGTTTGCGACTAGCATGGATCCAGGCCAGCCTGCGCATCCGCGCAGTCTGATCAGGATCCATGCTGTTCGTTATCGGTTTCTCTACTTGTTATAGAGTTTGTAAGCGAACAGCATGGCGCAGGCTGGTCTGGATCCATGCTGGTCGCAAACGCGCTATGTTGGTTTTGTCGTGACGCGGCTCAATTGCATTCTGGAAATTTAATTCTGTCAAGACTAAATTTTGTTGTAGTTCAGTGTGGTTTAAAACCTAATTGTATCATAGTTTGGGGACTTTTCTGTTGAAAAAGTGTCAGGGTTAAATCGTATACATATACATGCACAGTGCGGTAACTGGAGTGCAGGTATCAGTTACCCGCACTCCAGATAATGCCCGTGGATTGGTTCATTTTTGCCGGGGTTTACATATTGTGACGGCAGAGAAAGGGAAAGGGGCAGAACTATCATATTCAAATGCTCATTCATTGATTAAATTTTTCTGGGGTTTCATATTATGACAACAGGGAACGTGCTGTCATGTTTGACTATGATACAAAAGAGAAAGAACACCAAAACACTCGGCAATCTGATTTATACTCGGGGGCTACGCCCCCTCGTACAAATCAGATAGCCTCGTGTTTCGGTGCTCTTTCTATTACATAAAATTGCCATGTACCGTATATCATGGGTATAAGAAAGATATAAAGTTATCTTACAGTATATGTGAATGTTTGACTCTCAAGTCATTCGTTCTAATACTAGTTTAAAAAATATGATCAAAGATCAACAAGGCAAAGGCGACATTCACAGAACGCAGCCCCGACTCAACCCAATTACACCCTAGTGTTGACAAAGTATTAATATTGCCAGTTTAGTTTACACCATAATTGGTTATAAAACGGACAACTTGGGACATTTACTGCTGTACTTATTGTTTCTTAAGCCATTCAAAGTTTGAATTTAGAAGAAACTGCAAATAAACTGTCCTTAAGCCCCAAATATAAAAGATACATAATGCATTTCAGGGGACTTGTGTATGGCGTTATATTGTTTTAACATTTTTGTATTTAAAAATGCTTGAGGAGGCGATGAAAATCCAAATAGGAATATCAAAAAACTTGAAATAAGAATTTAATTTTATTAAACACACCTGTTTCAAGTATGAAATATGAAAGACATTGTTGAGTATTCTTGTGTTTTCAGTAATGCTTTTTATACACACTGTTTCATCTTGTTATTTCCATGACAGACAAATACTGTTTTTGCAACGAAGTAATTACTTAAGATGGAAACATAAAATAAAATGATCAAAACTACCCCTCAAATATTTAGAGCTATAAGGTAAATTAGTAATTCTCTAGAATTATAGTTTCAAGCAGTGCAATTATACAAATGAATGAATTTCTTCTCACTTTCTTTAAAATGTTATAAATGATTAATAGTAGCATGTGCTATGGATAAATCTCTAGTGAGCAATTAAAAAAATGCTTTTTATAAACCCACAGCTCTACTTCTTAAATCATAAATCAAGTACTAAAATAATTTTCAAATAAATCGGTCGCCATTTAACGATAGTCTTATAGTGGTATTATTTTGTTCATAAACATTTGAATAATCATCGTGATATAATAGAGAGTTTCTAAACGTTAAAATTCGTCATGTCTAATGATCTTATTATACTGCACTGAAAAGAAAATATTATAAACTAAGCCAGCTTCACTCATGAATTTATTTCGCAGTTCTCTTGTCCTTTTATTTATTTTCTCAATAACTGAAAGTTTTCATCTTTACAAATACATAATTACAACGCAACATGGTCAGACAAATACGCATGTGTTTGAAACTATTTTATAAGGAGGATTATATAGATGTACTGATAAAGTGCGAGCACTTGTACTTTATTTTTGGCACCATGGACAAGCCGGCTTCGAACATCCGTATTAGAGAGGGAACGAATAATCAATATTGTTTATTTTTCCCGCTTATTTTTGAACCGTTGACTTTAAACGTACACACAATGACTCTGTTTTACACATATTAAGAACTAATAAGTTTCTATGTAACAAATGACAGCATACAGATATAATTTCAGATATTCGATGAAGTCACCATTGTTTACTTTTTTCTTGGAGACCTCGTACATCATATTATTATAATATTTAACATGATATGTTTGACTTTGGCTCCTAACATGGTACATGTGTAATTGTACCACTGTATATTACCACCCAAAACAAGTATTCCAGAAACCAGTGGAAAGCTTCTTGGTCCATTTACAAGTATTAGACTATATTTAGATTGTAGTCTGATAAACAACAATTGATGTAATAGATATATTGTTTACATATATTTCAAATGAATGCATGTTTTACAGTCTATTAATGATATTCGAAATCATTCTGTATATACACATGAATTTATTCCAATACCACACACTATGGTAATGGAAATAACATAATCATTTGATATAGATATATGTGTATTTTATCATATCTGGGGATAAAATGATTTATAACTTTATCTCAATCCAGATTTGTTTTAACCAAAACCGCATATTTTTACAAAACACTTCGTA